CTATGTTGCCAGGCTGGTCTTTAACTCTTGGACTGAAGCAATCCTCCTGCCAGGTTAACATCCAGTAAAGTCAAAAACTTGTCAATCAAACCACTGCTAAGTCAAGGACCATTTGTATATTATGTTTTCTTCCGATACATAACATACCTATAACAAAGTTTAATTTATAAATTAGGCACAATTAAGAGATTAACAAAAATAATGAATAATAAAATATAACAAGTATAATAACATGCCAGCACCGTTATTCTTGTACTTTGGGTCCATTATTAAGTAAAATAAGAATTTTGAGGCGGAGTTTTGCTCGTTACCCAGGCTGGAGTGCAATGGCACGATCTCGGCTCACCGCAACCTCCACCTCCTGGGTTCAGGCAATTCTCCTGCCTCAGCCTCCTGAGTAGCTGGGATTACAGGCACGCGCCACTGTGCCCAGCTAATTTTTTGTATTTTTAGTAGAGACAGGGTTTCACCATGTTGACCAGGATGGTCTTGATCTCTTGACCTTGTGATCCACCCTCCTCGGCCTCCCAAAGTGCTGGGATTACAGGTGTGAGACACCGCGCCCAGACAAAGAATAATTTAAACACAAGCCCTGTGATACTGTGACAATCACTGCTAACCAAACAGGCTACTAACTAACAGGCAGGTAGTGCAGACAGCATGGATATGCTGAACAAAGGGATGATTCATGGATGAAGTGGGACATCTAGAGAGTTCCTCACGCTACTCAGCATGGGACACAATTTAAAACTTATGAATTGCTTATTTCAGGAATTTTCCATTTAATATTTTCAGACCTCAGTTGACTTGAGGTAACTGAAATTTCAGAAAGCAAAACCATGTGATAAGGGAGGGATGACTATCTAGCATTTGAAGCCTATCTGTTAACCTCCCACAAACCCTCTGGTTTAAATACCCCTGCTCCAGAACATCACCTCACCTACTCATGCTACCTTCCTAAATTTTACCATGGCTTGAAATTATATCAATACAAGTAGAAAATAAACTCTAATATAAGCATTACTTAAATGTCACATTCCCTGGATCAAGCAGACTCACAGTTGTTTTAAATTAGGCTAATTTGTTTCAAGAGCATATTACCAGTCCATAATTATAAAATAATTTTATTTTTCATTTCTATAGACCTATGCTGCCCAATATGGTAACTACTAGATACATGTGGTTATTTCATTAAGTTAATTAAAATAAAACTGAATTTCAGTTCTTCAGTTGTCCACATTTCAAATGTTAAATGCCACATGTTACTGGTTCTCAAAATGTGGTCCCTAGATCAGCAGTGCACCACTTACAAATCTGTTAGAAATACAAATTCTCAAGCTCCAGCAATCTGTGTTCTGAAAGGCTCTACAGTTGATCCAGGAGATTTTGAAGCATGCTCAAGTTTTAGTCACTGTTAAATTACTTAAGAGTGGTTATAAGCCATGACATAAGAAATCTACCATTACAATCCAAAATAGTCTATAAATGATGCATCAACTAAAATAGTCTATAAATGATGCATCAACTATGAAATCATACAACCATATTCCTATTATGATGGATTCTAATACAAAAGGAAAACAAGATATTCTTAACAAATTATATTAAGCTTCATTTCCTAAAAAAAAAATTAAAACCATAATTTCCTTCCCCTTCCAGTAAGCAGACTCCTTTTCATTTCAACATCAATATAATCACAATTTTCACCTTTTTCTAAGATTTCAATTAAAATCCTTTAATTTAGGAAGAATATATACAGTAGAATAATGAGGAAGTCAGACAATATTTTCAAATTTTGTGTCAACTGCAATTTTCACATTAGCAACTATTACTTGTATGATCAGCTAATAAATAAAAATAAAACTATTAGCTAGAATTACCTCAGCAAGAAGTTGAAACTGAAGTTGCACAAGTGTTACAAAAGAGGCCAAACAACTTTACTACTCTAATTTCCTCTTACCAATCATAAATCTAGTATAAAACTAAATATTTGCAAAATCAACATTCGTACATACATGTATGTTAAATAGTCCTCGTTAAATTTTCTGACAGAAAAACATCCTTAGAAATGTCAGCTTAAGAACAGTAATGCAATATCTTAAAGTGATTATGAAACCACTGAGAAAAGATCTATCTAGTCTTGGCTTACCACAATTTGGCCCAAAAAGGAGAGACTTTAAGAGCCTGATTGATTACAAATTTCTGCCACAGCCAAGTGCGTTCTATGATAACCTACTGGTGGAAAATTACTTAATGACAATTTGTGTACAAAATCCTTCAAGTACACTGCAATAGGGCACTGAGATCATGTTAAGGGATTTTATAAAAATATTTACAACATATTGAGCCTATGTGCCATCCATGAGAACCCAAATCATACTTCATACCACTGTTGCAGCACATAAATGTCCATTTTCAATCAAGCATCATTCCATAAAATGAACCTGACAATGCTTGACAAAATGTTGACATCTCAGTCAGGTGTGGTGGCTCATGCCTGTAATCCCAGCACTTTGGGAGGCCACAGCAGGTGGATCACTTGAGGTCAGCAGTTTGAGACCAGCCTGGCCGTCATGGTGAAATCCCGTTTCTACTAAAAATACAAAAATTAGCCAGACGTGGTGGTGCACGCCTGTAGTCCCAGCTACCTGGGAAGCTGAGGCAGGAGAATGGCTTGAACCCTAGAGGGGGAGGTTGCAGTGAGCCAAGATCACGCCACTGCACTCCAGCTTGGGCAGCCAGAGCAAAACTCTTGCTCAAAAAAAAAATTTGTTTTTCTTTAAACTTCTCTAAGAACGTAATAGTCATCCCTTTTTTTTCATAAATGCCCAGTAAGTGTCCATAATATGCCTAAATCTGTGCTAGACAGACAAAGGTGACTTGAGAGAAATTCGGAGTACTGTTTGGCACATTGGTTGGTACTTTTTTTTTTTTTTTTTTTTGAGACGGAGTCTTGCTCTGTCGCCCAGTATGGAGTGCAATGGCATGGTCTCAGCTCACTGCAACCTCCGTCTCCCACATTGAAATAATTCTCCTGCCTCAGCCTCCCGAGTAGCTGGAACTACAGGTGCAAGGTCCCATCATACCCAGCTAATTTTTGTATTTTTGGTGGAGACAGGGTTTCACTATGCTGGCCAGGCTGGTCTCTAACTCCTGACGGACCTTATGATCCGCCCAGCCTCGGCCTTCCAAAGCACTGGGATTACAGGCATGAGCCACCGCGCCCGGCCAGTATTTAATATATGTCATTTTGGATTTTTTTTTGGTGGAGGGACAATACTTAAGGTGGAAACTGAGTCTTTAGTGTTTGGTAACAAAGGATTTTTTTTTTTTTTTTTTGAGACAGGGTTTCACTGTCCCCCAGGTTGGAGTGCAGTGGCCTGAGCTTGGCTCACTGCAAACCCTGCTTTCCGGGTTCAAGTGATCTTCCCACTTCAGCGTCCTGAGTACCGGAGTGCCACCATGCCAGGGTAATTTTTCTAGGTTTTTTTTTTTTGGTGGTGGTAAGATATGGGGTCTTGCTATGTTGCCCAGGCTGGCCTTGAACTCCTGGACTCAAGCAATTTGTTCCACTCAGACTCCCAACATTTTGGGATTATAGGTGTGAGCTACCGCGCCTGGCCATGGTGAAGGTTTAGATGCTAACACTTTTTTTTTTTTTTTTGGAGACAGAGTTTTGCTCTTGTTGCCCAAGCTGGAGTGCAACGGCCGATCTCAGCTCACTGCAACCTCCGCCTCCCGTGTTCAAGCAATTATCCTGCTTCAGCCTCCCAAGTAGCTGGGATTACAGGTGCACGCCACCACACCCAGCTAATTTTTTGTATTTTTAGTAGAAACGCAGTTTCACCATGTTAAGCCAGACTGGTCTCGAACTCCTGAACTTAGGTGATCCACCCACCTTGGCCTCCCAAAATGCTGAGATTACAGGCGTGAGCCACCGAGCACAGCCAAAAAAAATTTTTTTAAGGTGCCAGCCCTTAAAGAGACAAACATATGAAGAGCTAAGTAACAAAGGACAATTAAAAATACCATGTGGCAAGATGATTACTGCAAAGTTAGTAGCAAAGAAGAGTGCTACAAATTCTGACCAAAGAGATTATTATAGACTGTGGCCCTTCTAGTCTCCCAATAAAACGGGGACGCTATATTTCGGTTTAAAAAAAGAAAGTGACACAGCACTCATCCCACCCTAAAATTATCATCAGAGGAAGGAATACAATAAAAAGAATGGTATAAAGAAACTCCACACAAGGTTTTTAAAGCCTATGGTAGCCCTGAAAAAAGTTAGAACCACAGACACAACCCTTTGCTGATCTAGGACTTGTAAAGGCTCCTGAAATACAAGTCTCTCAGGAACAGCATCCCGATTCTCTTTCTCCGCCCCCCACGGAGCTTTCCACTGGACAGCCGCCCGAGAAATTTCTCCCAGCATCTGCAATGGCAATACTCTCATCTTCCTCCCCTCGCCTGTATCAGACGGTGGCATCTCCCTCCCGGGGAAAAAACGGAGGGCGGGGGAGGCTGCATTTGAGGGAAAGCTTGCAGCGAGGTTGATTATGAAGGAGGGGGAAGATGAGAAAATGCAGGGGGCGAAGGTGGCCTCTCCTGAGAGCCAGCTCACTCTATAAGGCCTAGCCCACACACTCCCACCCAGAAGGCACGCCCCTCGCATGCCGGACCCGGACGCGGACCCAAGTGACAGCAGCACCACCTGTACCGCACTCCCTCCCACAGGGCCTGCAGGGAGACGACTGCCCCTGCCCCCACAAGCAGCGGCCCCTGGCTCTTTTTCTTCCCTTCTAGTCCACGTCGTCGACGAGTGACAGGTCCCGAGGGAGGCGATTGCAAGCGCACGCCATTCGGGACTACCGAGGCAACCGTGCGCCGAAACCCTCCAGCAGGCGCGCGGAGGCAGGCAGAACGTTCCGGACGGCCCAGGAGGACTCGGTCCAGGCCCAGCCTGCCCCAGCTGCCACACAACGAGCGGAGATGGCACTTACTGCGGAGATTGTGGATTAGCTCCGAGTGGCTGGCGCCGCCGGATTTCCAGGCCATCGCTAAGCACACTCGGAGCAGGTACAGAATCACCTTCAGCGCGGCGACGGTGCCCAGTAGTTTCCCCAAGAGTGAGACCACCTCCCACACCGTCACCGCCCCGCTAGCGTCCCCGCTGTAGCCGCCGCCGTTACTGCCGTCGCCGCCGCTGCCGCCACTGCGCGCTCCCGGCATCCCCCGCGGCACGCATGCGCTCTGTGACGCCGCGCGGCCTAGGGTGTGGCCGGGTGGGGCCGAGGGCGGGGGAGGTGTGTGGCACAGCCGCCCGCGCCTGTGGCTGCTGCTGCTACCCGGGGACTGCAGGGAGGCCGGGCTGAGTCAGCGCCACCGCTGCTTCTGAGTGGCCCTGTCTGAGGCCTCGGACTGCATTGCCTTTGCTCTGCGGCCAGGCTCCGTAGCCTGATCAGTCACATTCCCGGCTGCGTCTCCGGTCAGCTAGCTGGACGGCGGGATGGTGGGGTAGATCTGTACCGACGCTGCCCGTGGTTCTGCAGTCGCCGCTGGGTCAGCCGTTTCGCGCGGCGAATCTGCTCCTATAGGTGTCCAGATTGCTAGACGGTGGGCTTCATCTGTCCTACCTCGCCCAACCCAGTTGACTAATATTTGGTTCGGTGGAGCCAATACAGTAAGAAGAATAAAACCCAAGGACAAAGGCTCTCTCTATCCCGAGGACACCGGCCTCTGGCTTTGTGACAAGCACGTCACTGTTAGGCTAGGCAGAGACTTTGGAACCCTTGGTTCTAGAGCTCTCAGAGAGTGAAAGAATACCAGAACCTGGGGGTTGGGGGTTGGGGCAAAGCTTTGCTTCTTTAGAATAATACGAACGTAAAGAGTTGCGATTGGTTAAAAAAATACCAGTATGTCCTTAAGTGAACGTGTTACTCCCGATTTAAGTGTGCATTTACACCTAGTTAAACCTCACAAATTCCACCATGGGTTTATTGCTATAAGCTCTGCAAGACCATCAGTGAGAAGCTCACCGAGAACATTGCTTGTCGCATGCAAATCGCTGACTCCTAATTAGAACTGAGACTGTCAGAATCCAGCCATCATTTAGTCCACTAATCTTTTAAAGGAAACAAAGCTAAGTCACCTGTGCCACTATGCCAGTACAATTTACAAATTCTAGTTTTTACCTTATTTTGTAAACTGTGACACCGCCCCTGCTTCCAATCCAAAATCAACATTACCTATTTTCTGGGATTCTGTGACCATTAATGAAACTACAGGCAAAACAATATTCAATATTACAATATTACTTCAATATTAAACATGAATAAAATTGCCGATTTGGGGCTGTAACCCTCTTAATAGTTTCCATTTCATCTGTCTACACTTCTTGATGATCTCCGTTTGGAGGAAAGAAAAAAGTCAAATCCTTGATAGGAACCTGATAACTCTAAAGCGGACCCAGACGGGTTGGATTTACACGCAGTGCTTCCGTAAACTATCCCTGTGAAGTAAGACTACCAATATCAGATAAAACAACAAACAACCATATCATGGCCCTTCTTATAGAAACAACCAACACACACTTATGAATATCTTTAGTGTAAAGGAGGTTCATCTTTTTAGATGAATAACTTATACCTCTTGTATTCAATAGCATTCACATTCTGATGGGGGAAGAATATGCATCTCAAGAAAACTAACCGCAGGGCACAGTGGCTCACACCTGTAATCCCAGCACTTTGGGAGGCCAGGGCGAGGGGATCACGAGGTCAGGAGTGTGAGACCAGCCTAGCCAATATGGTGCAATCACATCTCTACTAAAAATAGAAAAATTAGCCGGGCGTGGTAGTGCGCGCCTGTAATGCCAGCTACCTGGGAGGCTAAGGTAGGAGAATCACTTGAACCCGGGAGGCCGTGGTTGCCGGAGGCCGTGGTTGCGGTGAGCCGCGATGGCGCCACCTAACTCCAGCGTGGGGAACAGGGAGACTCCATGTCAAAGGAGAGAGAGAGACAGGAATAAGGGAAGGAAGGAAGGGAGGGAGGGAGGGAGGGAGGGAGGAAGGAAGGAGGAAAATATCCAAAATATATGCCATTAATACTCTACATATCCAGTGCTAGCTCATGTCTGTAATCCCAGCAATTTGGGAGGCCAAGGCGGGCGGATCACCTGACATCAGGAGTTCGAGACCAGCCTGGCCAATATGGCGAAATCCCAATTCTACAGAAAAATGCGTTAATTAGCCGGGCATGGTGGCGTCGGCGTGTAGTCCCAGCTACCCCGGATGCTGAGGTGGGAGAATCACTTGAACCTGGGAGGCGGAGGTTGCAGTGAGCTGAGATTGCGCCACTGCACTCCAGCCTGGGCCACAGAGTGAGACGTTGATTTAGATCAACATTGGCTGGGGTCATCAGGGGAAATGGTACAGGAAATAGCAGATCCTTGAAGGATAGGCAGGATTCTGAGGAATAAAGAGGAAGAGAAAAATACTACAGGTGCAACCAAAAGCACAGAAGGAACCTAGAAAACTGATCCTGGGCCGTTTTCAATCGATATCACCAACCTCATTCTTAATCATGCACATAATTGACTTGACCAAAGCTAGGCAATTGGCAACAAAACTAAAACTGGAGGCCAGGTGTGGTGGCTCACGCCTGTATTCCAAGCACTTTGGAGGCCAAGGTGGGCTGATCACCTGAGGTCGGGAGTTCAAGACCAGCCTCACCAACATGGTGAACCCTCATTGAAAAGGTTTCACTCTTAAAAAAAAACTAAACTAAACTAAAACTGGAGTCTTCAGAATTCCAACTCCAGGCTTTGACTGTGTGTATTAACTTTGAAGCGAAGTATTTGTTTGAGAGACAATAGGGAGAGGTTTAGGATAGTAGGTTGGCACTTTATTCGAGGTACTCACATTAGTAAGGACTTTTGAATCGTTTTCTTTGCGCAGTGATCTGCAACTGCTTAGGTATGGTTTCAAGGTGGTTTCCATTGCATTGATTTTTTTCTATTTTTGTTCTTAAATTTTACACTGAACAATTACTGAACACAAGAAAATACTGATATTGCAGATTAGGAGCAAGTCCTACTGCTCAAAGGCCAAAGCGCTCTTGCCTTTGTTCAGAGCCGCTTTGTGAGATGGGCCTCTCTGGCTAAGTTCTCCCAGTATGCAGTACTGACTAGTCCCACACTGGCCACCGACAAGAATTGACTCTCTGCAGCCACCGTCTCGTTCCTATAGTCCCATCCAATCAGAGCTCCGCGGGAAGAGGCGGGGCTGAGAGGCGCGCATTGTGCTTGCTTCTTGCAGTAGTTGCTGCGATTGCTTTCCGCATGGAGGAAATTTATGCGAAGTTTGTGTCTCAGAAAATCAGCAAAACCCGCTGGCGACCGCTGCCTCCGGGAAGTTTGCAGACCGCGGAAACGTTCGCTACGGGATCTTGGGACAATGAGGTATCCCTGCTAAGGAACCCCTACCACCTCCTCCCTTTCTCTGGTTGAGCTGCACCCCTGTCCGCCCGCGCGCCAACTCCCACCTTCCGGTTCTTCTCCCACTTCTAGGTCCCCGGAACCCCTGTCTCAGACGCGGTTACCCCATAGTTCAGAGCCGGTGCCAGTGTGCCTGAGCCTCGTATCTCGTTGCGTTTTAAACTCACCATACCATGTTTCTGAAATGTTTTCGAGCAGGGTTTCCTGACGGCAGGACAAGTTTTATTTTCAGAGTTGACGTTTATGTCATCTCAAGACAAAACTTTTTGTTTTACAGGAAAATTATGTTTCACTGTGGTCTATTGGAGATTTTGAAAACTTGGACTCTGATGGAGGGTTTGAAGGAGACCATCAGTTATTGTGTGATATCAGACACCATGGTGATATAATGGATTTACAGGTAAATCTTTGTAGTATGCAAAAACTAAATTTGAAAATACTGAGTAATATATTTAAACAAGCAGAAGATCGTCTGGTTTACAGAAAACTGAGTGCCCTATAAGTTAAAATTTGCCCCACATCATTTAGCCATTTAGTGGCAGAAAAAGGACTGGGAAAGGGGATACAGATTTAATCATACTTTTTATTAATTGACCATCGGCTATGTGCTAAGTACCGTTTTGGGAGCTTTACAAAAGTTAATTTATTGTTGCATGCCAGTGAATCAAGTATCGTTATCTTTGTTTTACTAATGAGAAAATTGAGACTAGTATATCTTGAGCATGTTCTATGTGACAGATACTGTACAGGGGGTTTTACATCATTTTGTTTTTTGAATTCTCATAACAACTCCCTAAGTAGAGATTAGTACTCCCGTTTTAAAGATTTACCACGATTTAGAGAACTTAACTTGGCCAACGTCTCAAAACCAGTAGTGAGTGGTGGGGATGAAATTAAGTTTTCAAATCCTGATGTGGAGAGTCCCTGCATTTTATTCTCTAGAAAGCTACCTAGCCCTAGGAAAGATATTTTCTTTTTTAAAATTTTTATTCTTTTTTTGAAACTGAGTCTCACCTGTCAACCAGGCTGGAATGCAGTGGCTTGATCTTGGCTCACTGCAACCTCTGCTTTCCCACAAGCCCAACTCATTTTTGTATTATTGTAGAGACGGGGTCTCACCATGTTGCCCAAGCTGGTCTTGAACTCCTGAGCTCAAGCAAGCCGTCCGCCTAGGCCTCCCAAAATGTTGGGATTACAGGTGTGAGCCCAAATCAAATCAATTGTAAGTGAATGTGTTTAGGAAAAAAATATTGTTTATCCATGAAAATACTCTTATTTTTGATCACTACTAAAAAATAAAAATAAAAAAATACTCTTATTTGTATGGCAGTTTGGACTTTCAGCTCCATTAACACATTTTATTTATTTGCTTAGCACTCATAGACTTCACTTTTCAAAATTGTTAGAAGTTACTACTAATCAAGTTAAATAAAGAAATGGACTTCCTCCCTACTAATATTTCTGAATCTTCAACAAGCAGAAATTTTCTCTTTAGTTTTTTGACCAGGAAAGAATTGTCACTGCTTCATCAACGGGATGTGTAACAGTTTTCCTTCACCATCCAAATAACCAGGTAAAGAACTTTAGTTCGAAAAGTGAATTTTTTATGATAGAATATTGTTTTCTAGGGAAAGAAAAAGAAAAAAATAATAATAACAAAATAGAAAAGTGAATTTTTTTTTGAGACAGAGTTTTGCTCTTGTTGCCCAGACTGGAGTGCAATGGCATGATCTCGGCTTACCGCAATCTCCACCTCCTGAGTTCAAGCAATTTTCCTGCTTCAGCCTCCCCAGTAGCTGGGATTACAAGGATGCGCCACCGTGCCCAGCTAATTTTGTATTTTTAGTAGAGATGGGGTTTCTCCATGTTGGTTAGGCTGGTCTTGAACTCCCTACCTCAGGTGATCCACCTGTCCTGGGCTCCCAAGGTACTGGGACTACAGATGTGAGCCACCATGCCCAACCAAAGGTAGCCTTTCTAATAGACATGCCTAGTAAATATCAAGACCCAGTTCATGTTAAGTGTTTTTTTGAGTCATTTACAAAAACCGATAAGAGCCTTATGTTTTATTTTATTTATTTATTTATTTTTGAGACAGAGTCTCTCTCTGTCACCTAGGCTAGAGTGCAGTCGCGTGATGTCTGCTCACTGCAACCTGCGCCTCCTGGTTCAAGTTATTCTCCCACCTTAGCCTCCCAAGTACCTGGGATTACAGCCAGGTGCTACCACACCTGGCTAATTTTTGTATTTTTAGTAGAGATGGGATTTTGCCACATTAGCCAGGCTGTTCTCAAAGTCCTGACCTCAGGTGATCCACCTGCCTCCCAAAGTGGTGGGATTATAGACATAAGCCACAGTGGTGGGCCAGAGAATTATATTTTAGATATAGTTTCATTCCTTGGCCTCCCAAAGTGCTGGGTTTACAGGCATGAGCCACTGTGCCCACCCTCAGTATACAGAACTTTGATAGAAGTAGTTTTTAGATTTCATTACTCTAAAGGAAAAAAGAGAGATTTATTCTTCTAGAAGGGTGTGAATCAGAATTTAAAGATAGTCTTGTTGGCAAAAAGTGCTAGTTCCTTAAACTTTCTTTAATAGTATCCTCATTTCTGATGCCTAGACTCTGTCAGTCAACCAGCAATGGACTACAGCTCACTACCACACAGGCCCCAGCAGTCCTTCCTATAGCAGTGCACCATGTACAGGTATTGTGTGTAACAACCCAGAAATTGTTACAGTTGGAGAGGATGGTCGAATAAATCTCTTCAGAGCTGATCACAAGGAAGCTGTAAGAACCATAGGTAAGAAAAATCCCAGCCTGGCCAACATGGTGAAACCATCTCTACTAAAAATATGAAAGTTAGCTGGGTGTGGTAGTATGTACATGCCTGTAATCCCAGGTACTCAGAAGGCCAAGGCAGAAGAATTGTTTGAACCCGAGAGGCTGAGGTTGCAGTGAGCTGAGATGGCACTGCCATATTCCTACCTGGGCAACAGAAGGAGACTCCATCTCAAAAAAAGAAAAATCATTTTATTTCTTTCATCTCTCACAGAGTAATTGAGTACTTACGATATACTAAGTAAACACAGCCAGGTAGGGGTGGATCACGAGGTCAAGAGATCCAGACCATCCTGGCCACATGGTGAAAGCCTGTCTCTACCAACAATACAAACTTAGCTGGGCATGGTGGTGCGCACCTGTAGTCTCAGCTACTGGGGAGGCTGAGGCAGGAGAATTGCTTGAACCCAGGAGGCGGAGGTTGCAGTGGACTGAGATCACACCACTGCACTCCAGTCTGGCAACAGAGCAAGACTCTGTTTCAGAAGTAAACACAATGTTAAATGGTTGAGGGATATAAAAATACATGGACAGGCACAGTGGCTCATGCCTATAATCCCAGCACTTCAGGAGGTCAAGGCAAGCAGATCATTTGAGGCCACGAGTTTGAGACTAGCCTGGCCAACATGGCGAAATCCTGTCTACTAAAAATATAAAAATTAACTGGCAATGGTGGCACACGCGTATAGTCCCAACTGCTTGGAAGGCTGAGGCATGAGAATTGCTTGAACCTAGGAGGCTGAGGCTTTAGTGAGCCAGTATCATACTATTGCACTCCTGCCTGCCTGGGTGACAGCAAGACTCTGTCTCAAAAATATATATATAAATGTGTGCGCGCGCATGCGCGCGCGCGCGCGCACACACACACACACACACACACACACACACACACGACAGGATGCTTTTGTCAAGACAGTATATTGATGAGGCCAGTACAAATGACTGACTAGAGAAGACAGAAACCTTTTTTTTCCTTTGGCCAGAGGGGATTATCAGATAAAGCATCTGGGAGTAGGTAGTAATAGTTTTTTCTAGGTTCTAGACCATAAGTAATACTAAAAGATGGCATGCTAGACAAAGGGAATAGGCCAGAGACAGGATAAAGACCTTCAGAGAATGACAAAAAGTATAGTTTGACCCAACTTTAGATATTTATGCAGGAGAGATGAAAGATGAAGCAAGAGAAGGGTAAACAGGCCAGATTGCAAGGAGTCTATAATGCAAAATCACAGAGATTACATCTTGTAGGTGGAAAACTCAGTGTATTGGTTCTCAACTATGCTTCAATAAGACTTGCCTGAGGAAGTTTTTTTGAACTGTCCACCACTCTAGACCTCTTGAATCAGAATCGCTAGGAATTGAGCCCATACGTCCATCTTTTTGTTTTGTTTTATTTATTTATTTACTTTTTAGATGGAGTCTCACTCTGTCATCAGGCTGGAGTGCAGTGGCATGATGGCTCACTGCCACCTCCGTCTCACAGGTTCAAGCAGTTCTCCTGCCTGAGCCTCCTGAGTAGCTGGGATTACAGTCACCCACCATCACTCCCAGCTAATTTTTGTATTTTTGGTAGAGATGGTCTTTCACCATGTTGGCCAGGATGGTTTCGATCTCTTGACCATGTAATCTGCCCACTGTGGCCTCCCAAAGTGCTGGGATTACGGGTGTGAGCCACCGTGCTCGGCTTTCTGTGTTGTTTATTATGGTTTTCAGTTCTGAGTTAAGTTGCATTGCTTTTTTTTTTTTTTTTTTTTTTGTGACAGGGTCTTGCTTTGTCACCCAGGCTGGAGTGCAGTGGCATGATCCAAGCTCACTGCAATTTCTGCCTCCCAGGTTCAAGCAATCCTTCTGCCTCAGCCTCCCAAGGATCTGGGACCACAGATGCATACCACCATGCCTGGCTAATTTTTGTAGAAATGAGGTTTTACCATGCTGTCCAGGCTGGTCTCCAACTCCTGGGTTCAAGTGAATTGCCCGCCTCGGCCTCCCAAAATGTTAGGATTACAGGTGTGAGCCACTGCACTGGGCAACATCACTTATTTGTTAATTAATGACCGTTGTCTGGTGGCAGTGTAGAGGAGTGGCACAAACTAAAGTCTATAAAGTATATGTTAAATTATGAGGCATAAGTTCTAAACACCAGGAAATCAACAGAAGGACCATTATAACAATCAGGAATGACTTCATAGAGAGGGCGAGAGTTGATGAGGATGAAAATAAGTAGATTTGGGATGAGTCTGCAGAATAATACAAGATTGGCATGAGCTCTGTAGAAAGCACAGGGGTTTGGCCCAATAGAAGGGAAGTTCTAGATCAGGAACTAGTGGGAAATAAGATTGGGTTTAGGGGAGCTTGAACAACTCTCTCAGAAATGCAGGGTAACAATCTTTTTCTTTTTCTTTGAGACGAAGTTTCGCTCTTGTTACCCCAGGCTGGAGTGCAATGGCGCGATCTCGGCTCATCGCAACCTCTGCCTCCTAGGTTCAGGCAATTCTTTCTCAGCCTCCTGAGTAGCTGGGATTATAGGCACGTGCCACCATGCCCAGCTAATTTTTTTTGTATTTTTAGTACAGACAGGGTTTCACCATGTTGACCAGGATGATCTCGATCTCTTGACCCCGTGATCCACCCGCCTTGGCCTCCCAAAGTGCTGGGAACAATCTTAAGAGTTAAAAAAGAATGTATGAAAACTCAGCCTTCCATTTCTAACACAGTTCAAGGCTGGGCCCAGTGCCTCACACCTGTAAATCCAGCACTTCGGGAGACCGAGGTGGGTGGATCACCTGAGCTTAGGAGTTCGAGACCAGCCTGGCCAATGTGGTGAAACCCTGTCTCTACTAAAAATACAAAAATTAGCCGGGCGTTGTGGTGTGTGCCTGTAATCCCAGCTACTAGGGAAGCTGAGGCAAGCAAATCACTTGAACCTGGGAGATAGAGGTTGCAGTGAGCTGAGACCATACCAGTGCCCTCTAGCCTGGGTGACATGGCAATATCCATCTTAAAAAAAATAAAAAGAAAAAGAAAACAGTTCAGATGTCCTGTAATATTTTTCCATCCAAAGAGAATTCATTTAAACATGTACATTACTGTGTACTTTTCTATAGAAATTTAAATTATGAGTTACTGGAAATTGTATTTGTAATATAGCAATCCATGAAAGGAGTGTGATTTAAGATTTTCTTGGAAAAAAGGAACTCATTAACACATATTACCATTTTTAAAAATTTTTAGACAATGCAGATAGTAGTACACTCCATGCTGTAACCTTTCTTCGAACTCCTGAGATTCTTACTGTGAATTCAATTGGACAGTTGAAAATATGGGATTTCAGACAACAAGGAAATGAGCCTTCTCAGATATTGTCACTGTAAGTATTGATTTGTAATTTCAGTAATGTAATCCAAAATTAATGTGTTTGGTTGTTTATAGCAATTATCTTTAAGCTATGTTAATTACATTTTAAGAGGGTGATCCCTGATTAAATTTGGTAGAGAAAGCATAACTTGAATAACTTGATGGGGTTGACACTACTTTCATTTAGCAATTATTTGTTATAGTGATTCAGAACCTTTACTCTTTGAAGTTTGTATTATTTCGTGGAGAACTTATTTCTGCTCTTTCAATGATTATTTAATGGATAAAATATATTCCAGATATAATGATTAGGGGAAAAATATAATTCCAGATATTTTTTATGAGCAGAAATCCCCCCTTTTAGGTATACAACCTTTTCTCATACGAAAATAGAATGTGTCACACTGAAAAAATAGTTATAAAAACTAAGCATTTAATAAGATGATAAATAGGCTGGGTGCAGTGGCTCACGCCTATAATCCCAGCACTTTGGGAGGCCGAGGCGGGTGGATCACGAGGTCAAGAGATCGAGACCATCCTGGTCAACAAGGTGAAACCCCATCTCTACTAAAAATACAAAAATTAGCTGGGCATGGTGGTGCGCACCTGTAGTCCCAGCTACTCGGGAGGCTGAGGCAGGAGAATTGCTTGAACCCAGAAGGCGGAGGTTGCGGTGAGCCAAGATCGTGCCATTGCACTCCAGTCTGGGTAACCACAGCGAAACTCCATATAAAAAAAAAAAAATAAGATGATAAATAATATTTAGTACAGTTGATGTATGATTTTTTAAGAAATCTAAGAAGTGGAAATATGATTTATACATCTTATCATCAGATTATCCTTCATTCTGTGTCTCCATATTGAAGTGAGAATGAATAATTGTGGCCTTGAATTATTTCAAAATTGTACTATTTGGAAATATATCTAATTTAGTTCATTTTTTGGCATCATTAAGATTTAGCCAGGCCCGGCATGGTGGTTCACACCTGTAATCCCAGCACTTTTTGAGGCCAAGGCCGGCGGATCACTTGAGGTCAGGAGTTCAAGACCAGCCTGGCCAACATGGTAAAACCCCGTCTCTTCTAAAAATACAAAAATTAGCCAGGCATGGTGGCATGTGCCTGTAATCTCACCTACTTGGGAGGCTGAGGCAGGAGAATCACTTGAACCAGGGAGGCAGAGTTTGCAGTGAGCCAAGATCGAACTATTGCACTCCAGCCTGGGCAAAAAGAATGAAACTCTGTCTCAAATTTTAAAAAAAGATTCAACCAGTAGCTCCAGCCACTAAGTTGTTGTTTAGTTACCATATGAAACATGTTTCTTGGCTGAGCATGGTGACTCACGCCTGTAATCCCAACACTTTGGGAGGATCACCTGCAGTGAGAAGTTTGAGATCAGCTGGGGCAACATAGCAAGACCCTCGTCTCTACAAAAACCCACCATGCCTGGCTAGTTTTTATATTTTTAGTAGAGATAGGGTTTCGCCATGTTGGCCAGATTGGTTTTGAACTCCTGACCTCAAGTGATCCACCTGCCTTGGCCTCAAAAAGTGCTGGGATTTCAGGCATGAGCCACTAAACCTACCTGGTCAAGACCCTTTCTCTTAAAAAAGAAAAATCCAGGCTGGGCACAGTGTCCATGTTGGTCATCCCAGCACTTTGGGAGGCCAAGGTGGCTAGGTTGCTTGAGGCTGGGAGTTCAAGATCAACCTGGGCAACATGGAGAAACCCCATCTCTGCAAAACTACAAAAAGTTAATCAGGCGTGATGGTGCACACATGTAATCCCAGCTACTCAGGAGGAGGCCGACGTGGGAGGATCACCTGAGCCCAGGGAGTTTGATCCTGCAATGAGCCACGATCACAGTGCCTCAATCCAGCTTGGGTAGCAGAGTGAGACCCTGTCTCGAAAATGACAACAACAACAAAAAAAACCATGTTTCTTGTGTTACACAAAGATAAATTATACTTTATCTGATTTTGATGTCAATGTTATCTCCCACAAAAGAACTGGTGACCGAGTGCCACTCCACTGCGTTGATAGACATCCCAACCAACAGCATGTTGTAGCTACTGGTGGCCAAGATGGAATGTTGAGTATTTGGGATGTTAGACAAGGTACTATGCCTGTATCTCTGCTGAAGGCTCATGAAGCTGAAAGTAAGTATTGTGGAGATACAGAAAGTTTTTATTGGGTGAGTTATATGACATATAATAAGCACCTTTTCATAATGACACACGTGGATCATTTTACATGATAGCTTTTAATTTAAATAATTATCTAATCTCTTTTTACTTGACATTTAAGTTGTTTAACATGTTTCTTTTTTTTTTTGAGACAGAGTTTCACTCTTGTCCATGCTGGAGTGTAATGGCACCATCTCTGCTCACCACAGCCTCAGCTTCCCAGGTTCAAGCAGTTCTCCTGCCTCAGCCTCCCCAAGTAGGTGGGATTTCAGGCATGTGCCATCATACCCGGCTAATTTTGAATTTTTAATAGAGATGGGTTTTCTCCATATTGGTCAGGCTGGTCTCAAACCCCTGACCTCAGATGATCTGCTCGCCTCAACCTCCCAAAGTGCTGGGATTACAGGCATTAGCCATGTGCCTGGCTTTTTTTTTTTTTTTTTAAGGGACAGTCTGAATCTGTTGCCCAGGCTGGAGTGCAGTAGTGCAGTCACTGCTCACTACACCCTTGACCTACAGGGCTCAGGGGATCCCCCCATATCAGCCTCCCAAGTAGATAGGACTATAGGTATGTGCCACCATGCCTAACTGATTTTTTTTGTTGTTTTTTTGTGGATATGGGGTTTTGCTTTATTGCCCAGTCTGGTTTCAAACAAATGATCCTCAGGAAGTGCTGAGATTACAGGTGTAAGCTATGAGCCACTAAACCAGCCACAGGCTTCAGTCTTATATCCAAAACTGTACTGAGAATCCTTAGATATTTATGTACCCTTGTTTTTTGGAAGACAGGGTCTCCCTTTGTCACCCAGGCCGGAGTATAGTAGTGGTGTGATCATAGCTCATTGCAGCCTTAAACTCCTTGACTTATACGATCCTTCCAATGTACTAGGACTACAGGTATGAGCCATTATGCCCAGCCTTATGTACTTCTTGTCTTTTTTTTTGAGACAGAGTCTTGGTCTGTCACACAGGCTAGAGTGCAGTGGTGCAATCTCAGCTCACTGCAACCTCCACCTCCTGGTTCAAGCAATTCTCCTGTCTCAGCCTCCCAAGCAGCTGGGGCTACAGGTGTATGCCACCGTAGGCCTAGCTAATTTTTTGTATTTTTGGTAGAGACGGGGTTTCTACCATATTGGTCAGGCTGGTCTCGAACTCCTGACCTTGTGATCCACCTGCTTCAGCCTCCCAAAGTTCTGGGATCACAGGCGTGAGCCACTGCACCCGGCCTACTTATTTTCTTAGGATCATTTTTTAGAAGTAGAGTTGATAGGTCAAACATTTTGCATAATCCATTGACAAGAGGATTCTACACGAAAATAATACCAGTTTAAGCCAGGCACATTGACACATACCTGTAGTTCTAGCTACTCAGGAGCCTGAGGCGGGAAGATTGCTTGAGCCCAAGAGTTTGAGGTCAGCTTAGGCAACAACCTCTTTGAAAAGCTAATAATACTAATTTAAGCCAGGTGGTGTGGCATGCACCAGCTTCTCAGGAGGCCAAGGCAGAATTGCCTGAGTCCAGGAATTCAAGGCTGTAGTATGTTATGATTGTACTTATGCACCCCAGCCTGGACAATAGTGAGACCCTGCCCCCCTAAAAAAAAAAAAAAAGGTAACAAAAATCATGCCATTTTATATTGCCATAGTTAAGTGTGCAAGAATGCCCTTTTCACATGCAAATGCAGGCTATTTGTCATATTTGCTAATGAATGCTGTGCTCCTCAATTTATTGTTGCAGCTTTTTTATAAATATGAATGATAGATTTATTTATTTATTTATTTATTTTTTTGAGACGGAGTTTCACTCTTGTTACCCAGGCTGGAGTGCAATGGCGTGATCTCGGCTCACCGCAACCTCCGCGTCCTGGGTTCAGGCAATTCTCCTGCCTCAGCCTACTGAGTAGCTGGCATTACAGGCACGCGCCACCATGCCCAGCGAATTTTTTGTATTTTTAGTAGAGACGGGGTTTCACCATGTTGACCAGGTTGGTCTCGATCTGTCGACCTCGTGATCCACCCGCCTCGGCCTCCCAAAGTGCTGGGATTACAGGCTTGAGCCACCACGCCCAGCCGTGATAGATTTATTTTTTTTCGCCCTTTTTTTTCCGCCTTTTGATTCTAGTGGAGATGATTTGACTGGACAGAAAATTTTCATTTTATCAACTCTGTCTTTGATATCATGCCAGAATGGATTATACTTTTTTTTCTTTTTTTTCCGAGATAGAGTCTTGCTCTGTTGCCCAGGCTGGAGTATAGTGATGTGATCTCAGCTAACTGCAACCTCCACTTCCCAGGTTCAAGCCAGTCTCCTGCCTCAGCCTCCCTAGTAGCTGGGACTACAGGCATGTGCCCCCTAGCTGATTTTTATATTTTTAGTAGAAATGGGGTTTCACCACATTGGCCAGGCTGGTCTCCAACTTCTGACTTAAGGTGATCTGCCTGCCTTGGCATCCCAAAGTGCTGAGATTACAAGCATGAGCTACCACACCTAGACCTATACTTCTTTTTTTTAAATGGGGTCTCTGTCACCCAGGTTGAAGTATAGTGGATCACAGCCCACTGCAGCCTCAGCCTCGCCTCCCTGGCTCAATAAATCCTTTCACCTCAGCCTCCCGAGATAGCTGAGGCTGCAGGCATGCACCACCACACCCGACTAATTTTTTATTTTTTGTAGAGACTGTCTCGCTATGTTGCCCAGGCTGGAGTGCAGTGACACGGTACCTCATTTCAGCCTCAACTTTCCTGGGGTCAAATGATCCTGCCTTGTCCTTCTAAGTAGCTGGGACTACAGGTGTGTGCCACTACATCTGGCTAATTTTTTTTATTATTATAATTCTATAGAAATTATGGTTCAGAAAAAGAGTCCAGGCTCAGTGGCTCACGCCTTTAATCCCAGCACTTTGGGAGGCCAAGATGGGCAGATCACGAGGTCAAGAGATCAGGACCATCCTGGCCAACATGGAGAAACCTCATCTCTACTAAAAATACGAAAATTAGCCAGGTGTGGTGGCTCATTCCTGTAATCCGAGCACTTTGGAGGCGAAGGCAGGTGGATCACCTGAGTTCGGGAGTTCAAGACCAACCTGACCAACATGGTGAAACCCCGTTTTAAAAAAAAATTAGTGTGGTAGTGCACACCTGTAGTGCCAGTCAGGAGGCTGAGGCAGGAGAATTGCTTGAACCTGGGAGGCAGAGGTTGCAGTGAGCCGAAATCACGCCACTGCACTCCAGCCTGGTGACAGAGAAGACTGTCTCAAAAAAAAAAAAAGAAAAGAAATTACAATTCCATAAAAGATTTTGAGGAAACAAGGAAGGCTGATATCTTTCAGAATGGAGTGTGATTTTGGAATACATAACAGTTTCTTTGGGACTGGGCACGGTAGTTCATGCTTGTAATTCTAGCACTTTGGGAGTTCAAGGCAGGCAGATCACTTGAGCCCAGGAATTTGAGACCAGCCTGGGCAACATGGAGAAACTCTGTCTCCGTTAAAAATACAAAATTTAGGCCAGCCATGGTGGCTCACACCTATAATCCCAGCACTTTAGGAAGCCAAGGTGAGTGGATCATGAGGTCAGGAGTTCAAGACCAGCCTGGTCAACATAGTGAAACCCCATCTCTACTAAAAATACAAAAATTAGCTGGGCATGGTGGCACATGCCTGTTGTCTCAACTACTTGGGAGGCTGAGACAGGAGAATTGCTTGAACCTAGGAGGTAGAGGTTGTAATGTGCCAAGATTGTGCCACTGCACGCCAGCCTGGGCAACAGAGCAAGACTCCATCTCAATAAATAAATAAATAATACAAAAATTAGCCAGGCTCAGTGACTCACATCTGTAATCCCAGCACTTTGGGAGGCCAAGACAGGCAGACCATGAGGTCAGGAGATCGAGACCATCCTGGCCAACATGGTGGAACCCCATCTCTACTAAAAATACAAAAATTAGCTGGGTGTGATGGCGCACATCTGTAGTCACAGCTGTTTGGGAGGCTGAGGCAGGGGAATCACTTGAACCTGGGAGGTGTAGGTTGCCAGTGAGCCAAAATTACGCCACTGCACTCCAGCCTGGCGACAGAACGAGACTCCATCTCAAGAATAAAAAACAAAACAAAAATTAGCTGGGTATGATGACGCATGCCTGCAGTCCTAGCTACTTGGGAGGCTGAGCTAGGCAGATTGTTTAAGCCTGAGAGGTCAAGGCTGCAGTGAGCTGTGACCATGCCACCCTGCACTCCAGCCTGGGAGCCAGAGCAAGACTGTTTCAAAATAAGAGAGAAATTCTTTGCATTGAATTACGTAGAAGTTTGTCACTGACCTGTGTTCCTAAAGTATGAAGCATAAATATGTGGGCTAAGAAATAGTTTCTCTTGATAAATAATCAACAAATAAAAAATAAAAATTCCTCCATCTGAAACTGGATTCAAATTTTTGGAACATTTCCAAATTTTTGTTTGTAAGAAGTCAGTTGCTATTTCTATGATAGAGACCAGAAGTATTCAGAATCTTGGCATTAACCAATATTGGATATTGCCTCTTAGAAATCATTTTTATATTTCTATTAGGGTCTTTCTCAGTCTTTCCAGTGATACAATCTTCATATATTAATGACAGGAGTTGAAAAATATGAACTTACCAATTAAAAAAAAACTTTTCCAGCCTGACTCAGTGGCTCACGCCTATAATCCCAGCACTTTGGGAGGCCAAGGCAGGTGAATCATTTGAGGCCAGGGGTTTGAGACCAGCGTGGCCAACATAGGTAAATCCTGTCTCTACTAAAAATTCAAAAATAGCCAGGCATGGTGGCAGGCACCTATAATCCCAACTACTGGGATGCTAAGGCAGGGGAATCACTTCAACCCAGGAGGAGGTTTCAGTTAGCCAAGATCGCGCCACTGTACTCCAACCTGGGCAACTGAGTGAGACTACATCTTAAAAGAAAAAAAAACTTTTCCTTAAAAAATAGTCATTCCTAGCCAGGCACACACCTATAATCCCAGCTCTTAGGGAGGCTGAGGAAGAAGGATTGCTTGAGGCCAGGAGTAGAAGACCAAGGGAGACAACATAGCAAAACCCTGTCTCTATTTTAAAAAAAACACACACACCTTTTTCATAAAAAAATATAATAGGTTAAATGTTTTAGCAATATTTTCATTTACTTCCTTGCCCAGTACACAAATTTATTTGGCTGCTTTTTCCTTTTCTTTTTTTTCTTCCAGACAGAGTCTTACTCTGTTGACCAGGCTGGAGTGCAGTTTTGCAGGCTTGGCTCACTGCAACCTCCAGCTCCTGGGTTCAAGTGATTCTCCTGTCTCAGCCTCCTGAGTAGCTGGGACTACAAGCATGTGCCACCAAGACTGGCTAAGTTTTGTATTTTTAGTAGAGACAGGGTTTCACCGTGTTGCCCAGGCTGGTCCTGACCTCAGGTGATCCACCCGCCTCAGCCTCCCAAAGTGTTCTTTTTCCTTTCTATATGTTATAGCCATTGGAGAGTTATGTCTTTTCTTTAATTCTGAAGCCTTTAATTTTTATGATAGACTTGAGGCTTGAAGGTATGTGATGGAGGATAATGGAAGATGGTGCCTAGAGATGGGGGTTAATGTTGTTTGTTCAGCAAATCTGCACAGAAATGAGCTTCTTGGTTCTTATCTCTTAGTGTGGGAAGTTCACTTTCACCCATCCAACCCAGATCATCTGTTTACCTGCTCTGAAGATGGATCCCTCTGGCATTGGGATGCCTCCACAGATGTACCTGAAAAGTCGTTACTCTTTCATCAAGGTAAAACTTTTTAATGAATATTCCTGTGTTTAATTTTTTTTTTTTTTTTTAAGATGGAGTCTAGCTTTGTTGCCCAGGTTGGAGTGTAGCGGCGCAATCTTGGCTCACTGCAACCTCCACCTCCTGGATTCAAGCAATTCTCATGCTTCAGCCTCCCAAGTAGCTGGAGCTACAGGCAAGGGCCACCATGCCCAGCTATTTTTTTTGTATTTTTAGTAGAGATGGGGTTTCACCGTATTAGCCAGGCTGGTCTCAAACTCTTGACCTCAAATGATCTGCCCCTCTCAGCCTCCCCAAAGTGCTGGGATTACAGGAGTGAGCCACAGTCCCTGGCCTTTTTTTTCTTTTTTGAGAAAAAGTCTTAGTCACCCAGGCTGGAGTGCAGTGGCACAATCTCAGCTCACTGCAACCTCTGCCTCTTGAGTTCAAGCTTTTCTTCTGCCTCGGTTTCCCTAGTAGCTGGGATTACAGGTGTGTGCCACCATACCTGGCTAATTTTTTTTGTATTTTTAGTAGAGATGGGGTTTTGTTATGTTGGCCAGACTAGTCTCAAACTCCTGGCCTCAAGTGATCTGCCCACCTCAGCCTCCCCAAAGTGCTGAGATTATAGGTGTGAGCCACTGTGCCCAGCCTGTTATGAGTAATTTTGTTAAATTTTTTTTTTTTTTTTTTTTTTTTTTTTGAGGCAGACTGTCTCCCTCTGCTGCCCAAGCTAGAGTGCAGTGGCATAGTATTGGCTCGCTGTAACCTTCACCTTCTGGGTTCATGTGATTCTCCTGCCTAAGCCTCCAAAGTAGCTGGGATTATAGGAACCCACCACTACGCCCAGCAAAATTTTTCTTTTTTTTTTTTTTCCTTCTATTTTTTTGTATTTTTAGTAGAGATGCGGTTTCACCATGTTGACCAGACTGGTCTTAAACTCCTGACCTTGTGATTCGCCCACCTCAGCCTCCCTAAGTGCTGGGATTACAGGTGTGAGACACTGTACCTGGCCTCATCCTTTTATTTTATTTTGTTTTGTTTTGTTTGAGACAAGGTCTTACTCTGACATCCAGGCTGGACTGCAGTGTCATAATCATGGCTTACTACAGCCTCACCCTCCCAAGCTCAAGTGATCCTCCTGCCTCAGTCTCCCAAAGAGCTGAGACCAGAGGTACTTTCCACCACAATCAGCTAATTTTTTTTTTTTTCTTGTAGAGATGAGGTCTCACTATCCTACACAGGCTGGTCTCAAACTCCTGAGCTCAAGCAATCCTACTGCCTGGGCCACCAGAGATGCTGCAATTATAAGCAGGAGCTGCTGTACCCAGCCTTATTATACTTTTAAATACCAAATTAGACATATCGTATTTTTTACTTAATGGCAAAACATTATTATTCTCTTACCTCAGAGTAAATTTGAATATCACAGGGTTTGAAATCTGACTGTTAAGTTACTTACTACTGTATGGCCGATGGCTAGAAATGCTGTAAGCTGGCTCACTTGAGACAGCCAGGGTTCTCCTTTGTGAGTGCCATTAACCTGGACCCTCATGCCATAGCATAGACACAGGCAAATCTTTTATATTGCATTGCCAAGTTTGGGTAAGTGGCAAGAAGCAAATTGATATTTGATGTAACTGAAGATACTGGTTTCCTCTCAGGTTAAAAGGCCTGAGCTCAGCCAGGTGCAGTGGCTCATACCTGTAATTCCAGCACTTTAGGAGGCTGAGGAGGGTGGTTCATGAGGTCAGGAGTTCAAGACCAGCCTGGCCAATATGGTGAAACCTTCTCTCTAGTAAAAATACAAAAAATTAGCTGGGAGTGGTGGCCTGCACCTGTAGTCCCAGCTTCTCGGGAGGCTGAGACAGAAGAATTGCTTGAACCCAGGAGGTGGAGGTTGCAGTAAGCCGAGATCATGCCATTGTACTCCAGCCTGGGTGACAAAGCAAGACTCCATCTGAAGAAAAAAAGATCTGCTTTCCTCATTATAGTCAGTGGTAGGTTATGGTCAGCCAAAACCCATGTACTTCTAATCAAGGATTTGTGTGTGTTTTTGCATTTTCCAAGTTTCCTGTTTTTCAGGGTTTGTCTGTGGTTCCAAAGTTCGTTTGCTTATTCATTCAGAAATATGTACTGAATGCCTACCAAGATGTACAACAGTAAGCAGAACAAAATGTCAACACATAGAACAAATATTCTAGCAGACAGTTAAAAAATAGACAATTAGAGTCCAATCAGAGTATCAGAAACTACCTCAGAGGTAGAAGGAAGTGGTCTCACATGTGTTAGAAGGACTAGGAAAACAAGGGAATAGGAGGGGTGCTGGGAGAACAAATAGGAAGAAAAAAGAGCACCCAGAAATAATAATCGTTAGTACCCCTGCTGCTGCACTGTTGGAAACGCTGTAAATGTTCTTGGTCAGGCACAGTGACTCATGCCTGTAATCCTAGCACTTTGGGAGGCTGAGGTGGGCGAATCTCAAAGCTGAGATTGAGACCATCCTGACCAACATGATGAAAGCCCGTCTCTACTAAAAATACAAAAATTAGCTGGGCATGGTGGTGGGCTCCTGTAGTCCCAGCTACTCGGGAAGCCGAGGCAGGAGAATCGCTTGAACCCGGGAGGCAGAGAGAGGTTGTAGTGAGCTGAGCTCCACTCACTGCACTCCAGCCTGGTGACAGAGCGAGACTTTGTCTCAAAAAAAAAAAAAAAAAAGTTGGTTCTGAATCAGCAGAAAAGGCACTACCTCAACCAGGCTGGAGCTACCACCAATGTTATTGCCAGAAACCTGGAGCAGGAAGGAGCTGCTGCTTCCCTCTGCCTTCCAGTCACCCACCATGAATACCTCCCATTGGCAGGCCCACTGGATGGCAGGTGGTAAAGCAGCCTGGAAAGTGGAGTTTGCCGACTTCTACCCCCTACAGTATATAGCAGAGCACAGAAAAGTGGGGAAGAGAACTGAAAAGAAAAAGGAGGCCAGGCATGGTGGCTCATGCCTGTAATCCCAGCACTTTGGGAGGCCAAGGTGGGTGGATCACCTGAGGCCAGGAGTTCAAGACCATTCTGATCCAACATGGTGAAACCTTGTCTCTACTAAAAATATAAAAATTAGCCAGGCGTGGTGGTGGGCACCTGTAATCTCAGCTACTAGGGAGGCTGAGGCAGGAGAATAGCTTGAACCTGGGAGGCAGCAGTTACAGTGAGCTAAGATTGTGCTACTGCACTACAGCCTGGGCAACAGAGCGAGACTCTGTCTCAAAAAAAAAAATTAAGGAGAAGGGAAATAACCTGGCAAAATACACTGCTAATTACCATGAAGAAGAATACAGCAGAGTAGGAGGATAAAGAATAGAGACAGAGGTGAGGGGAGCTACTCTAGTGAGAGTCTAAGGAGAGAACATTTGAGAGAAGGAACATTTGAGCAGAGTCTTAGGAGAAGTGAAGGTGTAAGTGACATGAAAGCATTCCAGGCAGAGGAAACAGCAAATGCTGAGGGCCTGAGACAGGCAGAGAACAGCAAGGACACCATGGTTGCAGCTCAGCTAGCAGGGTAGAGTGGTGGGAGATAAGGGATGGTGGCTGAGGAGTCATGAGACTTTGTAGCCCATGATAAGGACATTAGACTGGGAGTGGGGAGGAGAAAAGTAAAAGCAGGGAGATGAGGAAAGGAGTCTTATCACAGTAGCTTGAATAATATGTTAATCTTTACAGTGTCCAAGAGCAATGTAAAATGTAAGAACAGTAAAAGATAGAAAAATTAAGGGGAAAAAATGTTAAAACTTCTCTAGTAAAATTCTGGAGGGGAGAGCATGTGTGGAACATGCATGCATGTCTATGCTAACTTCATCTATGGAGAAATGAACAGTTTCATCTAAGAATTGACTAAGTATATACTTAGTTTTTGATTTCCTTCCTACACTAACCACAGTCTTGAACTTGCAAGTTTACTTTTAAGGAACCTTGGTTAGACTGGAAATAAAACTTTATCCTGTGTCTACTATTGCAAGGCACAGTATATGAGACACTGTGAAAAGGTAAAACAAATATGAAATATGAGACCTGCTCTTAAGACATAGTCATGGACAGAGGCATGGAAAGTTCAATTAGGATATAAGAATTGTTACAAAGTAATGCTGAGGGTTCAAGGAAAGAAAAGAAAAACATGAACTAGAGGTTGTCTTCAAAGTTTTCTTAGAGAAGGAAGTTGAGCCATATTTTAAAGGGTTAGCAAGATTTTAAATGTACTGATCTTTAAGCTTTAAGACATAGGGACTTTGCACAGAGCCTGACACATAGTAGGTACTCAGTCATTTGCTGAGTGAATTAAATTTGTACTTATTTGGTATGACAGCAAGTTGAAAGGAAAGTTATAAGTAATGCCTAAAATGGAAGTATACTGCTTCTGCCTGCGTCACTTTTACTCTTTATTAAGTGCAATGCTGTGTTAGAGATAAAAGCTTATAATCTAGTAGTGTTACTCACTTTTAAGAACATTTATCTAAAAAGCATAAAAAAAGATCCGAGGTAAGGCAATTATATTTTTAGAAACGTAGTAACAAATATATATTTAGAAATATATTTTTTTTTTTTTTTGAGATGGGGTTTCTCCATGTTGGCCAGGCTGGTCTCGAACTCCTGACCTCAGGCAATCCACTCGCCTTGGCCTCCCAAAGTGCTGGGATTACAGGTGTGAGCCACCATGCCTGGCCTAGAAATATAAATCTAGAAATATTCAACTAGAAATGTGTCTAGAAATTCTTTCTCATGATCATTTATTACCCAAGAGTTTATATTTCCGTATATTACCTACATTTTTGGTTTCTTTTTTTTTTTCTTTCTTTATTCAACTTGTCTGCTGGCCATTTTGCTACCTTTCTGAGACTTTCCAATAAAAGATTAACAGAAAGACAGAGTCAGTTGAAATTATCTGCTTTGCCTGAAGACTTCATGTTTGGTATCCATATTATCTCATGGAAATTTGAATATTTAATATCACTGAATAAGCCTTTGGTCAAAAATGGTTTTGTATAATAATGGAATTATTAACCTGTTATTCTGAGAATTAAACATATTGAGATTATCACCTGTCTAAATTCAGTAGAAGTTTGCATGTTTACTAATATAAAAACCACCTTAAATTTTTTTTCTTTTCTTGTTTTCTTTCAGGAGGAAGAACCAGTACATTTTTGTCTCATAGCATTAGTAACCAAGCTAATGTTCACCAATCTGTCATTAGTTCCTGGCTCAGCACGGATCCTGCAAAAGACCGAATTGAAATCACAAGCTTACTTCCCAGTAGGACTCTGTCTGTGAACAGTTTGGATGTTTTAGGTCCTTGTCTTGTTTGTGGAACCGATGCAGAAGCAATTTATGTTACTAGACATCTTTTTTCGTAGAAGTACTGTAATTTTAAGATTTCAGGTAGAACACACAATTAGCCTTTTGAAATCCAACATCTGTGCAAACTTTTATTATCAGAAAATATGAGATTTGCAGGGGAAACATCAATAAACTGCCATTAATGTCAATGCCCAGTTTTGGCTTTTGTTAGCCTGACACTCCCACAACAGTTGTAGAATCCGTTGGATGACAGAGGGCAAAAGATTGTGAACATGTGCAAGAAAATCAGTGGGATCCTGGTGCTGATGAATAGGTTGCCTTCAGAGTATTATTGACAGCTCATGGGACTAGTTCTTTGTTTTAGATGTGGCAATTAACACAACATCAGTGGTGGTTATGGGAACCACCAATGGGTTCCTACAATGTTTATCAGTAGTATGTGGAGTATACGCCTCCTAGTGGCAATTGTCAATGTTAACAATTATTCTTTTTATTGCAAGTATTTCCTATGATCCTTCCACACTTTATTTCCTTAATAATTATAGTAAATGTTTTCAGAAAGAATTGAGTAGAGCAAAAATAACAAAGATGTATAGCCATGTTCGAATTTTTTTTTGAGACAGATTTTTTTTTGAGACAGTCTTACTCTGTTGCCAGGCTGGAATGCAGTGGTGCGATCTTGGCTCACTGCAGCCTCCACCTCCCGGGTTCAAGCAATTCTCCTGCCTCAGCCTGCTGAGTAGCTGGAACTACAGGGGTGCGCCACCACACCTAGCTAATTTTTGTGTTTTTTAGTAGACATGGGGTTTCACCATGTCAGCCAGGATGGTCTCCATGTCTCGACCTCATGATCTGCTTGCCTCAACCTCCCAAAGTGCTGGGATTACAGGTGTGAGCCACTGTACCTATCCTGAAATTTTTTAAAGATGAAAATGTTTTGACAAGTTCCTTTTTCAGAATAGGTTTTTGAGCAGAAGTCTTTCAACTCCTTAGACCCAACTTTATTTCTGTTGAAAAGGGAACAAACACAACATTTTTCCTAAGGAATTTAGCTTTTGTTTAGCTTCACGGCATAGTTGAAAATTGCCAAACTGGACATCGTGTGATAAAGTAGAATTTCATATTGATAAGCAAATTGACTTCCAAACTAAAATTCAATGCTTAACAAGTGTGATTAATCAAATGATAATATAATCAGAGTGAAGAATTGTGCCATTTTTTTCTTTTTTTTTTTTAACCTTTGTCCCCACCCCCCACCCCCCACCAGAATTTTGCCATTTTAATCCTTTTGTTTTAGCCACCTATAGTCTTATCAGCCATCTTTATTCTTGTCTGCAGAGATAATAATGACCTAATGTAGTGTTTTAAGATACTTTAATGATACTATCTTTCCAAAATTTGTTAGATATTAAATGTGTTATTGACCTGAGACCTTAATGATAAATCAGTACTATTAGACAATTGAAGTGTTTATTTACTTTATAATTCCAATAATCATAATTATGGAATTATGATAAGGTTTTGCTTTTCTGTCCTAATAAATATTTTCTTTTTCTTTTTTTGAGACAGAGTTTCGCTCTTATTGCTGGAGTGATGATCTCAGCTCACTGCGACCTCTGTCTCCCAGGTTCAAACAATTCTCCTGCCTCAGCCTCTCCAGTAGCTGGGATTACAGGTGTGCGCCACCAGACCTGGCTAATTTTTAATTAGTAGTAGAGAAGGGGTTTCACCATGTTGGCCAGGGCTGGTCTGGAACTCCTGACCATAGGTTATCAGCCCACCTCAGCCTCCGAAAGTGCTGGGATTATAGGTGTGAGCCACCACACCCTGCCTATTTTCAATTTTTTTAATGCCACTTTATCTCAGGGGGTTTTGGGTTTCTGATCTGTCTATAGTATTATTGCTGGGACTAATTTTTTAAAGACTTTTTGTTACTAAATAACTTACAGAAAAGAAAGTTTTAAGTACTTAGAATTTCAAACAGACAATACTCTTCATATCCGTTTCTATCCATCAATGTATATAATTTCTTAATAAAATGAAATATACATATATATATTATCTTTGTGGATGCATGTTCCCTAGCAGTAAACACATTTTTTCTATTATCATTTTGAACTGCTAGTTAATATTCTAAGCTGTAGGAGTGTGTACCATAATTTATTTCAATTGGTTGCCTATTATTGATTATTTCATGTTTCCAGCCTTTCACCGTTATGATTCCCACTATAATACCGGTTTGGTTTAATTTGCATTTCTTTTAAAACTTGCTTTTATTCTTAGCTTATATCCTCTTCATTTTTTGAGGTAGTTTGGCATTTTCTTATTTGTAACATCTTTTTATATGTGGTTTTTTTTTGTTTGTTTTTTTGCCTTTGGTTGTATGATACAGGTATTTTTTTAATTTAGTTTTTAGCTTTACTTATGGGGCTTTTTTTTAATCTTTATTCTGTTAATTTTTTTTTTTTTTTTTTCCTTGAGATAGAGTCTCACTCCCATCGCCCAGGCTGGAGTGCAGTGGCATGATCATGGTTCGCTGCAGCCTGACCTTCTGGGCTCAGATGATCCTCCCATCTTAACATCCTGAATAGCTGGGACTAGAGGTGTGTACCACCATGCCTAATTTCTGTACTTTTAGTAGAGATGGGGTTTCATAATTGCCCAGGCTACTTAGGGTGCTTTTCATAGAATTTGCATTTCGTGTGTGGTCAAATCAGTTGGTTTCTTAGTTTTTTATTTTTGTTTTTTGAGACAGAGTTTTGCCCTGTCACCCAGGCTGACGTGCAATGGCATGATCTTAGCTCACTGCAACTTCCACCTCCCTGGTTCAAGCAATTCTCCTGCCTCGGCCTCCCAAGTAGCCGGGATTACAGGCATGTGCCACCGTGCTCAACTAATTATATATATATATATATATATATATTTTTTTTTTTTTTTTGAGACGGAGTTTCGCTCTTGTTACCCAGGCTGGAGTGTAATGGCATGATCTCGGCTCACCGCAACCTCTGCCTCCTGGGTTCAAGCAATTCTCCTGCCTCAGCTTCCCGAGTAGCTGGGACTACAGGTACGCACCACCATGCCCTGCTAATTTTTTTGTATTTTTAGTAGAGACAGGGTTTCACCATGTTGACCAGTATGGTCTCGATCTCTTGACCTTGTGATCCACCCGCCTTGGCCTCCCAAAATGCTGGGATTATAGGCGTGAGCCACCGCGCCTGGCCCAATTTTTTATATTTTTAGTATAGATGGGGTTTCACTGTGTTGGCTAGCCTGGTCTCAAACTCCTGACCTTAGGTGATCCACCCACCTTGGCCTCCCAAAATGCTAGGATTCCAGAGGTGAGCCACCACACCTGGCCAAATCATTTGATTTCTTTCTTAATACTTTTTGTCCCCTGGCATCATGTTATCCTGTCCTAGAGTTATGTAAATGTTAATCTGTAATTCATTTTATTTTGTGGTTTTTATATTTTGCATGTAATGATTGCATTTGGAATTTAATGATTTAATGCATCTGAAGTTTTCTTCTTTTCACACAAGTAGATATTATGTGCTTCCTGATGTCATACAAAAGGAGTAAATAACACCACATAGGAAATTTCCTGCCCAAAAGGAACTACTTGTTTTTCATTTTGTAGCATTCCAGGAGTAAGTAAAAACATACACTTGTTCAGCTCAGGGTAGGTTTTTTCCTAGCACTGAAAAGTAGACCAGGCCGGGCTCGGTGGCTCACGCCTGTAATCACAGCACTTTGGGAGGCTGAGGCAGGCAGATTACGAGGTCGAGATCGAGACCATCCTGGCCAACATGGTGAAACCCCGTCTCTACTAAAAATACAAAAATTAGCTGGGCGTGGTGGTGCATGCCTGTAGTCCCAGCTACTCAGAAGGCTGAGGCAGGAGAATTGCTTGAACCCAGGAGTCAGAGATTGCAGTGAGCCAAGATTGTGCCACTGTACTCCAGCCTGGCGCCTGGCAACGGAGCAAGACTCTGTCTCAAAAAAAAAGAAAAGTAGACCAGATAATTCAGATAATTGCCATTACCCTAAATATCAGTTCAAGGACTTATCAGCCTAACTGTACTTCCCCAGTTCCTAGCAACAAAACTGAACCTGATTTACCTGTCTGCCAGTTTACAGACACTACAGGAAACAAAAGAACATGTTAAATGACAACATGGGATGCAACTGTTGAGAAATTCTATAAGACAAGGTGGCTTCTTAATAAAAACATTGTTTTAGCAGTAATGAATGGCTCTGGGCCTGGAGGAGGTGTTTATAGTTAAACACAGTATTTTGGCAGAGAAATATATACATTCATACCAAATGGGAACAATGAAAACTCAGTGGCTCACAATGCTTCAGGACCAATTTTCACTCTTTCTGATTCAGTAATAAAAACAGCCAGGCATGGTGACTTGTGCCTGTGGTTCTAGCTACTCAGGAGGCTGAACTGGAAGGATTGCTTGAGCCTGGGAGATGAAGGTTGCAGTGAGCCATGGTTGTACCAGTGCACTCCAGCCTGGGTGGCAGAGTGACACCCTGCCTCAAAAATAAATAAATAAATAATAATTTTTTAAAAACACCATAACTGTGGATTTTCCTTTGCCCTTCTATTTCCCTTTGTACAAATGGCTATTAGCATAGCCTAAAGCCTGCTGAGGCGGTGGCCCTCTCTGCCCAGTGCAGGCACCCTCAGATCCTACTCAGCAGGCTAACATCCTTGCTGTGAATGGGCCTCAAACTCATTCTCATTCATGGAAAAGACCCTGGCTCTTAGGTGGCACATTTTCCATGTATTGTGAATAGTAAGCCTGTTTTTGCCTCACCTCACCTTTCTTTTCTCTCTCTTTTTTTTTAAATGGAGTCGCTCTGTCACCCATACTGGAATGCAGTGGCCTGATCTCAGCTCACTGCAACTTTCACCTCCCAGGTTCAAGCAGTTCTGCCTCAGCCTCCCAAGTATCTAGGATTACAGACACACACCACCATACCTGGCTAATTTTTTTGTAATTTTAGTAGAGACAGGGTTTCGCCATGTAGGTCAGGCTGGTCTTGAACACCTGACCTCAAGTAGTCCATCCACCTTGATTTCCCAGAATGCTGGGGTTACAGGCAAGAATCATCGAGCCCAGCCTCTTCTGTTTTTATCTGTAATGACCACTGCCGAAAACTCTGAAGTTTTCATATATGTTGCTAACATCTTCTCAATTTCTAGCAGCCATATATAAAATTTCCGTTGATCATTATAAGTGAGTAAGTGGTAGAGGCTTTAAGGCTTTCAGGGTATTTGTAACCATAAGAGGAATACATTTTAACAGTGTTACATTTCATGCCAATTGACAAGTTCTGCCAATTTTAATAAGAAACTAAGCTATATGTAATATAACACCATAATTTATGAATCTGTTCATTGTCACTGCCTTTATTAAACTATAGTTTCTTTCAAGGGTTGCAGGTTCTTAGAGGTAGAAAGTACCTTGGCGAGCATCTCCAGCCTAAAATTCATGATTCCTTCTACAGTTTTCCCAACAAATTCCCAAAAAAGTATCATCTACCCTATACTTAAAAACATATGGTGGCTCACGCCTGTAATCCTAGCACTTTGGGAGGCCAAGGTGGGTGGGTCACCTGAGGTCAGGAGTTCAAGATCAGCCTGGCCAACATGCCAGAACCCGGTTGCTACTAAAAATGCAAAAATAAAGTAGCTGGGCATGGTGGGAGGCATCTATAATCTCAGCTACTCAGGAGGCTGAGGGAAGAGAATCGCTTGAACCCAGGGGTAGAGGTTGCAGTGAGCCGAGATCACACCACTTTACTCCAGCCTAGGCGAAAGAGTGAAACTGCATCTCAAAAAATATATGTATATATATGGTGATAAATATTCCCATTTTCCAATGAGGCTTCACATTTGAACAGCTCTAATTGATACAGCATTATGGCAGGATTTTAGTGTAAGAGTGGGACCCAAAACAATCCTGTAAAAAGGTACAGTCCTGGTGTAATGTTAACACACTGATCATGTGAGCCTATGAGATGAGCCAATCACCAATTACGTTATATTTGAATCTGCTCTGTGTTGGGATCCTTTACCATAGGGTTTCACTAAATAAATGAATTTTCATATACTGAACTGAAATTTGCTTTCATTTGTCTTACCTCAGGAGCCACCCACACAAAATTCCTTTCATATTCAAATATTCAAAAGTGATTATTATAGTCTCTCCAGTGAAGGTTTCCTTCTTACTGTTTCTTGTCATTTTTGGCTAAATCCTTCTTATCCTTCAAGACTCCTTCTAGGTGTCATTTTCTCCAGACAGCTTTTACTGGCCTCCAGCAATCTGGACTAAGTTGCACTCTGCTTCAAAAGCCCATTGTGCAGAATTTAAATTGTGTTCAAAGCAATGTGTTAAGGAGCCTGTCTCCCCCTACTGGGCTACAAGATCAAGAACAGGGCCCATGTCTTAGTGTATAGTGTTTAACAGTATCTGAACCATAGTAAGCAATGAATCACTATTAACTGACCTGAGCTAAACTCACAATCTTGTTGTCCCTTTAAAAAATACTCCTCTTTGTCAAAGGTCCTCTTTTTTTTCCTTCTTTTTTTGAGTCTAAGTCTCCCTCACCCAGGCTGGAGTGCAATGGCACGATCTCCGCTCACTGGAATCTCTGCTTCCCGGTTCAAGCGATTCTCCTGTCTCAGCCTCCCTAGTAGCACGGATTACAGGTGTGTGCCACCACACCCGGCTAATTTTTTTGTATTTTTAGTAGAGATGGGGTTTACCACATAGGCCAGGCTGGTCTCAAACTCCTGACCTCACGTGGTATACCTGCCACAGTCTCCCAAACTGCTGGGATTACAAGCATAAGTTACCACACTCGGCCAGAGGCCCTTTTAAGTGTGACTTCCAAGATAAACACTTTTTCATACATTGTCTTTGCTGATTATGACAGAAACCTTGCCATCGTTTTTCTAGGAATAATATTCCTTTGTAATGCTGTCTCCGCTTTCTGAAGTGTTCACATGTGATTCTCCTAAGCCACACTTCCTATATTCAGGAGTTAATACAGATGGTTTTTAATCCTTAATATGGGCCTATCCTTCTTGTTCTAAGAAAAATTTCATTTCAATATAGGAAAGGACTAACAATTTTCTTTGTATCTTTTGTAGAAGCTAATTATTTTCTACATAATTGGCCCAGCATGCTCTCTCCATTTTAATCCCATTGATTAGGAAAGATGTTTGAGACAAGATTTAACTCTCACTTAGGCCGGAGTGCAGTAGTGTGATCCCTGGTTCACTGCAGCCTTGACTTCCTGGGCCCAAGTGATTCTCCCACCTCGGTCTCCCAAGTATCTGGACTACAGACATGTACCACCAAGCCTGATTATTGTTTGCAATTTTTATTGAAATGGGGTTTCACTATATTGCCCAGGCTGGTCTTGAACTCCTGGACTCAAGCAATCTACTTGCCTTGGGGTCCCAAAGTGCTAAGCTGGAGTGCAGTGGTGCGGCTCACTGCAACCTCTACCTCCTTGATTCAAGAGATTCTCCTGCCTCAGCCTCCCGAGTAGCTGGGACTACAGGTGTGCACCACCATGCCCAACTAATTTTTGTATTTTTAGTAGAGACGGGGTTTCACTGTGTTGGCCATGCTGGTCTTGAACTCCTGACTTTGTGATCCGCCTGCCTGGCCTCCCAAAGTGCTGGGATTACAAGCGTGAGCCACCATGGCCAGCGGAACATAATCTTTTAACAGGTTTTCACATTTGGATTTCTGAATACAGTAAGCAGCCAGTTATTACTTTAACATCAGAAAAAGACGTCTGTAATTTTTTTGTAGTCTATAGTAGAAAAATTACGAAAGAAGTTACTTGAAAACACTATATTTTCTAGAGGAAAAACTGGCAAAGGCACTCTTCACAAAGGGTGGACAGTACCTTACACATCAAACCCAGTGATCCCATCCCAGATTTTCTATTCAACTTTACTAGAAGTAAAACCTCTTGTCTTGTCACACCGTCACCGTTATTCCAGTTAGGCAATAACGACCTCCTCCTACGGATGCAGTTGACAGGTCAGATCTCTAAACTCTGCTAATCGGTCCTGGCTCAAGAACTTCTTCTTGGCTGATTCAGAAAATACAGATGCTGGAACCTCATGGGCTTGTTCGGGGAAAGAACGCTAAGCAAGAATAAAATTTTATTTCAAAGCGCCAAAACTCGAATTTTGAGGTCCACAGCGAAGTTTCCCAGAACAACTCAACAGTTGTTCCCTTCGGAGAACGAAGCTCCGTGAAATGCGCATCCCTACTCGGTCCAGAGAAAGAGATCAATGGGAAAAAGGATTCAATCAACCGAGTGGGCTGGGCAGGAGAGAGCCTTAACCCACGGCCGCGGGCGAGTCTTCTGGGCAGGGCAGGCGGGAGCGACGTGGGGCGACGCTCACGAAGGCTCTGAGCGGCGGGCGACGCAACGAGGCCCAGAGGCCTCGGTTGCGCGCTCCCTAGCTGCTGCCGGGCGGGCAGAAGCCCCCAGTCTTCGGCCCCCGCGCAAGCGACGCCGGGAAATGCCCACATCCGGGAAACCTGCAACGGAGTGCGGCGGCGGCGACATTGAGTGGAAGGCAAAATGGCGGCGGCGGCAGTGGCCTGGTGTTAAGGGGAGAGCCAGGTCCTCGGGACCCCCGCGACGGGCCACAGTGGCCCGCGGCAGCCCTCCGGCGTCTCTACCCGCTCTGCCCCACCAGGGATACTTGGGGTTGCTGGGACGGGCTCCGGCCGTCTAGGCGCCCGCCCTCGGGCCGGTGGCCGCTGTCCAGGAGCTCTCCTTTCCCCTCCAGGTAGGTCCGGGGCTGGCGTAGCGGGTGGGGCTCACTTCTCCCGAGCTGGAGTTGGCGGGGCGGTGGCCGCTGGGGCCCACGCCCATCCCCGCTGGCGGGGGTCCAGAGGTTGCTGTGGACTGGCGGGCCGCGGCGGCCCGCTCCGGGCCTGACTGGGCTGGTTGCATTGACCTGAGCTGAGCCCTGCCCTGGGGAAGCGAGGGTTGGCTGCGCCCGGTGCTGCAGGAAGAGCCCCGGGCATTTCGGCCTCGGAAGTGCACGTTGGGCAGGGAAGAGCCTACCTTGCTGGCGGCCTTGCGCCGACTGTTTCCCACCCCACCCCCAAACGCGGGTCGGCGGTGTCCACAGGGAAGGAACGGGAAAGGTGGTTCTGAAGGAAATTTGCAGTGAAAGAGCTACAGTTTTTTGAATCCCAGAGGGCTCTGATCCTGGGTGTATCTTGAAGAAATCCTGGGAGTCTCTTATTTCTAGTTCAATGTGATAAAGGTTACTGTTCATAGTTGGAAATGGTGGGAGAGGTGGAGAGGTCTTTACGGAGTAGGGGTGTGTATATAAATACAGAAAATGAAGGAACGATAATTTAGGGAACAGCGTTTTTTATAACCTGAAAGGGCTTGTAGCTCAATGAATGACTTCCAGATGACTTAATCCCCATTCTGACTTCTCTGTCAATTTCTAATGGAACATAATTTAATGTTTGTCAACTCATATGTTAATACAACTTATAAAACATATATCATCCTCCAGAAGTTATTCATAAATCTTGTGAACAGTAAGTATAGTCTCCTACACAGAAATAATACTGTATAACTCCAGTTTTGGAAATGAATTTGAATGTTAGTGATCATGAAGCTTGTCAGACCTTTACGAATTGTTTATTGAAGGTTAAAAATTTTTATCCATTTTCCTTCATGAGGAAGAAAAGGTAGGACATTATAGTTGGAATGAATGTTCTCTGCTACGAAAACAAAGCTTATCTCTGATGGTAAAATGGGGTAGTTGATTCCCTAAGGCAGTGGAAGAGTTTGAACAGTGAAAGAAGTAGCATTGTGTTAGTTCCATTGGCTGCTACTGCAAGAAACTAGATCATGGTCCATTCCTGGAACAGCACATTCTGTGCCTAAATATTGATTGAATATGACTTGTTGCTCTCCAAAAACAAGTAAAAAAAATTTTTTTGGCTGTATTTTAAATGTATAATATCTGGCTTTCATTGTGTAGGTCGTTTTTATTTTTGTTTTTATTGCTAGTCCTTGTTATGCTGTATACATAGTCTTGGAATGGTTCTAACTCTGGTTATTTATTCTAGATGTTTTATTTATATTAGTGGGAGATTGTTATACATCACAAAAGTTAGTCATTGAATAACATTTCCACCAAGTAGAAGCAGCAGTCCTTTTTCAGCATTTTTCACTTTTGATCCCACAATTATTAGAAAGTGAACAGAAGAAAATGTCAGTATCCAGTTTCCTGAATATCGCTGTTTATACGAATGAGACTATGCTGCTAAAAAAAGAAACAGCACATATTATTGTTGCTGTCCTTATTACTGATCTGGTCAAAGCTATGACATAGTCATCTTTTTTTTTTTTTAAATGGGGACTCGCCATGTTGCCTGTGCTGGATTCCAACTCCTGGGCTTGAACAGTCCTCCCACCACAGCCTCTCAAGTAGCTGGGACTACAGGCGCACTACTGCACCCAGCTAGGGTACCTTTCTGATAAACTTAATTCAACCCAATCTTATGTAATGGTACCTGTTTTTTTCCAAAGTTGGACAAACTAATCGATGATACTTGTTTGTCGTTTGTATTTTTGATGAGGGTCTGAACTTTAAAAAATAATAATAAGGCCAGGCGCGGTGGCTCAAGCCTGTAATCCCAGCACTTTGGGAGGCCGAGGCGGATGGATCATGAGGTCAAGAGATCGAGACCTTCCTGGTCAACATGATGAAACCTCATCTCTACTAAAAATAACAAAAAATTAGCTGGGTATGGTGGCGCGTGCCTGTAATCCCAGCTACTCAGGAGGCTGAGGCAGGAGAATTGCCTGAACCCAGGAGGCGGAGGTTGCGGTGAGCCGAGATCGCACCATTGCACTTCAGCCTGGATAACAAGAGTGAAACTCCGTCTCAAAAAAAAAATAGAGATTTGTCATACCCAGGCAGTTTGATTCCAGAGCTCTTACTTTTAACGATTAGGTTAAAAATCATTGAAAGTTACGGAGTAGCTGGGCATGGTGGCTCACGCCTGTAATCCCAGCACTTTGGGAGGCCGAGGCAGGCAGATCACAAGGTCAGAAGATTGAGATCATCCTGGCCAATACAGTGAAACCCTGTCTTTAAAAAAAAAAAAAAAGATGGTGAAACATCTCTACTAAAAATACAAAAAAATAGCTGTGTATAATGGTGTGTGCCTGTAATCCCAGCTACTTGGGAGGCTGAGGCAGGAGAATTGCTTGAACCCAGGAGGTGAAGGTTGCAGTGAGCAGAGATCATGCCACTGCACTCCAAGCTGGGCCACAGAGCAAGACTCTGTCTCAAAAAAAGAGAAAATAATACAATTGAGGTAACAAGGAGATTTCGTCTTTTATTTATGGCTAAGTTACGCATGTGCAATGACCGCTACTCCAGAACTTCTCTGCTGTGGACCTGAAAAATATCTTTTAACGTTGATCTCAAGATATACTCTATTTATTTATTTTTTGTGGGACAGAGTTCGAGTCTTGCTCTGATGCTTAGGCTGGAGTGTAGTAGCACAGTCACGGCTCACTGCAGCCTCAGCCTCCCCAGTAGCTGGGACTGCAGGTGCACACCAACATACTTGGCTGTGTTTTGTTTGTTTTTTTTTTTTCTATTTTTTGTAGAGACAGGGTCTCCCTTTGTTGCTCAGGCTAATCTCAAACAGCTGGGATCAAGAGATCCACCCACTTCAGCCTTTAAAAGTTTTGGGATTACAGTCATGAGCCACTGCACCTGGCCCTAAATTTTAGAAATATTAAAATGTAGAACAGCATGCTTAGAATCAAACAAACATGATACTGGCCAAGCATGGTGGCTCACGCCTGTAATCCCAACACTTTGGAAGGCCAAGGTGGGAGCATCGCTTGAGGCCAGGAGTTTGAGACCAGCCTCATCAATAGAGATGAGAGACCCTCATTTCTATTTAAAAATAATTAAAATAAAAAGAAACATGACACCTATTACTGTGGAATGATGTTCCCGGTATTATGTTATTCTTTTGCTAACAAATAGGACCCTAATCAGTGACAGAGGCAAGATTCATAGGTCCTTTGGTCCACATGCCCAAATCTCTTAATCAGGTCCAGATATGGTTCCTCTTGCTCCAGGGACCTGTGAAGTAATGTGTCCTGTGTGTCATGTGTATGCTCTCTTGCTGTCTCTCTCTCACTGTATCTCTTTCTCTCTATCTCTCTTCCTTTTCTCTTCCCCTTACTCACCACAGTACACAAGAGTAGAATACTGCTAGGAAGGCCACAGTAAGCAGTACTCCTAGAAAAGGAGACTAATGAGAGATAAGCAGCAGATTCTGTGTAAGCAACCAGTCCTGGAGGTAGGGGAGATTGGACCTTGATTTATTTGGAAGGAACTCTCTCATCGTTTTCCATGACCTGTGAAGTGTGTGTTGGGTGAGTATCCTCCCTTTGGAAAGTACAAATCTTTCTCAACTAGCTTGTTGTTCTTAGAAGTTGGGTGCCAAAGGGTTTTAAATTTTGAATAGACAAAGAGTTTTTTAGTCTGAACTTGAGATGATTTAAGAAAAAAATTTTTTTTTTTTTTTGAGATGGAGTCTTACTCATTTGGTTATTTGAGGCTATTAGGTTTGACAGGAAGGCTACATCCTTAAGGTGTTCTTTATCCCTGAAGCAGTAGTTAGAGTTTTCAGCAGATATCTGTACTCAGTCTTCATCCTGCCTCTGCAGGTCTAGGTGCAAGTTGCTTTTCCAATCCTTTGAGAGTTTAAATTTCTGAACATATTCTATTCCCTTCTGTTTTTGCTTTGAAATCTGCTGCTGCTTTCTTGAGCTCATCATTTACTTATAATACTTTGCCAAATATACAATAGCAGTCAATATTTGCTTCCAAGATCCTCTTTTCCAAACTCTTTTTTTTATAAAATTGAAGGTCAGTAGCCTCTTTGTATGCTCACTGACCTTGTAGTTATATGGAAAGTTATTATAGGTAACAGCTTTACCAAATATTTTGCCACTATAAAACATGATCTTCCATCTTCCCAGTCTCTGGTATCTGTTTCCTCTCAGCCCTCAGCCTGACCACTAAGGCAGTATCACTAAGGCAGTGCTGCATAGGTTTTTATTGCAGCAGCACCTCACTTCTAGGTACCAGTTTCTGTATTAGGATAATGAAAGACTGAATCTACAGATGGACAATGGCCAGATCATATATGAAACTAGAACTCTGACCCATGACCTCTGTAGCAATAGGCCCAAACTGTCAGGACTTGGTCAGTAACTACCAGCTTCCTTAATCTTTGTACCTAATTCCAATTTGGGATGACCCAGAGAAAGCTAAATATGCTTCCCAAACCAGCCACATAGGATACCGCGCTTCCAGTGTCAACAAAGAGTCAAACTCTATAAAATATTTTAAGAGATTTATTCTGAGCCAAATATGAGTGACCATTGCCCCATGACACTGTCCTCAGAAGCTCCTGAGAACATGTGTCCAAGGTGGTCAGAATACAGCTTGGTTTTATACATTTTAGGGAGACATAGACATCAATCAGTATATGTAAGATTGGCAAGACAACTTGAAGTGGATGGCTTCTGGGTCATAGGTAGATTTAAAGATTTTTCTGATTGTCAGTTGGTTGAGTTGTTACTGTCTAAAGATCTAGAATCAATAGAAGGGAGTATCTAGGTTAAGATAAGGGGTTTTGGCTAGGCACAGTGGCTCATACCTGTAAATCCCAGCACTTTGGGAGGCTGAGGCAGGCAGATCATGAGGTCAGTAGTTTGAGACCAGCCTGGCCAACATAGTGAAACCCTGTCTCTACTAAAAATATAATTGGCTGGGCATGGTGGCACATGCCTATAGTCCCAGCTACTCATGAGTCTGAAACAGGAGAATTCACTTGAACAGGGAGGCAGAGGTTATGGTGAGCCGAGATCATGCCACTGCACTGCAGCTTGGGCAGCAGAGCAAGACGCTCAAAAAAAAGATAAGGGATTATGGAGACTACGGTTCCCATTATGCAGATAGAATCAACAGGAGGGAATGTCTGAGTTAAGGATTTGCGGAGACCAAGGTTCCCGTTGTGTAAAGGAAGTCTCTAGGTAGCAGGCTTCAGAGATAATACACCATAAACGTTTCTTATCAGGTTTGATTCTATCTTGAATCAGGCAAAAGGCCTGAGAAAGGAAGGGAATTATCTTCGGAATGTAGATTTTCCCCACAAGAGACAGTTTTGCAGGACAGTTTCAAGATATGGCAAAGAAACATAATTTGGGGTCAAATACTTAGATTTCTTTAAGGGCCTGCCATCTGTCATGTGATACTATGCTAGAGTCAGGCTGGAATTGGGTGTCCTGTTTCTACAAAGAGTGTTTTGTCAGTCTTAAGATTTGTTTCAATGTTAATGCTGGTCAGCTGTGCCAGAATTCCAAAAGGGAGGAGGGAATAATGAGGCATGGCCAAACCCCCCTTCCTATCATGGCTGGAACTAGTTTTTCAGGTTAATTTTCGAATGCCCTTGGCTGAGAGGAGGCTTGACTTAGCATTTTATTTTTGGTTTATACCAGTTAGCCCACCTTCAGTTTCCCATGCCAGCAGCCTACAATCAGAGCATACCTGAAGTCTTCCCCCTTTTTTTGTTGTAAAGATTTCCCACTCCCCTGCTTGCCTTTGAATCTTTGCCAAGTGCAAGTTGACAGTGGCTGATTCCCTACCTATATAGTAAGATCTGATTAAATAGCCTCTGCTTGTTTCCATTTGGGCAGTCTTTGCCTACTTCTACAATATTATTAGACTGTTTTGTGGTAACAAATCCCAGAATATCAATGGCTTAACACAAAAGAAATGTTTCTCTTGCACACAGTTCAGTGGGAGTCAGTAGGGGCTCTCCATCCAGTAGCTTAGGTATCCATCTTCCTTCCATATTGTGAAGCCACCATCTCAAAATGTAACCTACATTGTAATTGAAGCAGAAAAACCAAAGCAGAGTGACTTCTAACTGCCTCAGTCCAGATTTGAGATATGTCACATCTGCTCACCCAACTTTGGCCAGAGCTAATCTGGGAAATGGAGGCAAGTACTGTATGTGAATATAGTCTCTGCCATAATATATTTACCAAAATCAATTGGCTAAAGATATACATAATTCCTCCATTTCAGTGTTTTTGATATCAGAAGATATAGATCGTCTTACCATTAAAATTGAATGTTCAAATGTAATGCTTCTCTTATTTCCCTTGATAAATGAAGTGATATCATTTGATGGAAGCAATAGTTTCTTTAAAATATATCCCATGTATTTTAAGTGTGTATATTTAAATAAGAATTTGTAGCAGAACCATTCTGGGATCCAATCATTTCCTTTCCTTTTTTTCTTTTTCAACTCTCTATTTTGGAAAACTTCAAGAGTACACAGAAGTAAACAGAAAGGCCAAGGCGGTAGGATTGCTAGATGCCAGGAGTTCAAGACCAGCCTGCGCAACATGGTGAGACCTTGTCTCTACAAAACAAATAATAAGAAGAAAGAGACTAGTAGAGTGAACCCTCATATACCCATTACTCAGCTACAACAGTCTTCAACAAATGACAACTTTTGTCTCATTTATATACCCATCCCCTTCAGCACACAACCAAATTATTTTGAAATAAATTCCAGACGTTATTTATTTTATCCACAAGTATTTTCAACAGGTAGATGATAGAGATATGCTTAAAGTAAGTTTTCAGTTATTTAAACCTACAACACATTGTTAGACATATACCAGAACTCAGTCCTTTCTCTGACTTTTGTGTACTCAGTGTTAGGAGTTATATCAGAGTACAGTTATAGAATAGAGGACTAGAATGAATCTCTCTGGTCCAGCATTTCCTAACTTAGCATTTCCTAACTGCATGGAATGTGAATCTCATGAAATATTATGGGAGAAAAAGTAAGGTAAGGTGAATTTGGACAACAATACATTCTCTTCTTTTCTTGAACTCCTTGCCTCAAGTGATCCTCCCACCTGGGCTTTCCAAAGTATGGGGATTACAAGCATAAACCCCAGACACCCATTGTCTCCTTGTAATTGCCCATGATTATGTAAAAAAAAAAAATGAGATGTCCAATTTTGTATATTATGATCCCATTTTGGTTAATAGTAGTATATATTAGAATATTCAGTATTAATAGTGATTATTATTGTGTCTGTTTCCTGTGTCTTATGTAACAAATCACTATAAACCTGATGGCTTAAAACAACATAAATTTATCCTCTCATAGTTCTGGAGGCTAGAAGTCTAAAATCAAGGCATTAGCAGGGCCACTTTCCCTCCAGAGGTTCTAGTAGAATATCTGTCTCTTGCCACCTCCAGCTTCTGTTGGCTGCTGACATCCTTGGCTTCTGGCCTCATCACTTCAGTCTCTGCCTTCATCATCACATTGCCTCCTCCCTTTTTCTATGTGAATCAAATCTCCTTCTCTCTCTCTCAAAAGGACACTTGTAATTGCATGTGGTACTTACCCTGTTAATCCATGGCAATCCCTTAATCTCAAAATCCTTAACTTAATCACATTTGCAACATCCCAAGTTCCAGAGAAGATTAGAAGGGGGAATATCTTTTTTGATTTTTTTATTTTTTGAGACAGGGTCTCACTCTGTGTCCTAGGCTGGAGTGCAGTGATACAGTCATGGCTCACTGTAGCCTCCACCTCCTGGGCTCAAGCAATTCTCCCACCTCAGTCTCCAGAACAGCTGTGACTACAGGCACGCACACTGCCACACTTGGCTAATTTTTTGTATTATTTGTAGAGACGGGGTTTTGCCCTGTTGCCCACCCACGCTGATATCGAACTCCTGAGCTCAAGTGATCCTCCTACTTTGGCCTCTCAAAGTGTTGGGATTACAGGTCCAAGACAGGAATATATATATATTTTTTAGATGGAGTTTCGCTCTGGTTGCCCAGGCTGGAGTGCAATGGCATGATCTCGGCTCATCACAACCTCCACCTCCCCAGTTCAAATGATTCTCTTGCCTCAGCCTCCCTAGTAGCTGGGATTACAGGCATGTGCCACCATGCCTGGCTAATTTTGTATTTTTAGTAAAGATGGGGTTTTCTCCATGTTGGTCAGGCTGATCTTGAATTCCCGACCTCAGGTGATCCACTCGCCTTGGCCTCCCAAACTGCTAGGATTACAGGCTTGAGCCACTGTGCCCGGCTCAGGAATATCTTTTAAGAGGCCGTCTACAGTGATTCTTACTCTTGAGGAAGGTGAATTATGAGGGACTTTTACTTAATTCTACTATATATATTTATATAAATCCTTGAATTTTTCAATAAGGATTCATGCTGAATTTTCTTTTTCTTTTCTTTTCTTTTTTTTTTGAGACGGAGTTTCGCTGTTGTTAGCCAGACTGGAGTGCAATGGCAGGATCTTGGCTCACCACAACCTCTGCCTCCTGGGTTCAAGCAATTCTCCTGCCTCAGCCTCTCGAGTAGCTAGGACTACAGGCACACACCACCATGCCTAGCTAATTTTTGTATTTTTAGTAGAGTTGGGGTTTCACCTTGTTGACCAGGATGGTCTCGATCTCTTGACCTCGTGATCCACCCGCCTCGGCCTCCCAAAGTGCTGGGATTATAGGCGTGAGCCACCACGCCCGGCCTATGCTGTATTTTCTTAACAGCAGAAAGAAGGGGCAAGTTACCCGCATTTCTAAGTTCAAATATTTTTGCACTACCTGCTGGTGACCAGGTCCCATTATAGGGAAACGGAAGCAAATATTTTGACAGAAGCAAAATTATGTTTCTTTTTTTTCTCTCAGAATGATCTTGGAAATGGTAAAATAACAATAATAATAAAAGGATGATTAACTTGTGGTTGAAACCCAAAATAAGTGATATTAAAAGAATACCTAGATCCTATAAATGAATCGCAACCCAGATGCTAAGAGAACTGACGTAGGATTCCACAACAATGTTAATCCTTGATCATGGAGAAATAGTAGATTAAAGAAGACCTGATATAGAAAGTATCTTCACTTTTAGAAAGGGCCAGAATTGAATTCTGTAAAATTTAGACTGGTGAGCTAAATGTTAAACCTAGAAAAATGTGTTAGTAAGCTGTTAAATTAATATTTTGGGAAAGCTTATAGAAAAGAAAATGCTTTAGGGACCAGCTTCCCTCATAAAAACACAAGATATGTTCATCCTAATTTCATTTATGAAATAATTACTCATATATTATTATATTATAGACAGAATATATATAATTTTTGAACAATGAAAAGGCTTATTTTTTTTAAAGTAGAGAAATGTGAGCTGCTTGTGATTGATTCGTAACTAATTTAGCAATTGCACCATGAGATGACTGATTTATGAGGTGAAATCATCAGGAAACTACCTCTAGTGGTTGCTACAGGGCTTTGTCCTGTCTCAGGCCTGCTGCAAATATATGTGTGTGTGTATAATTAATTTCTATAAATATAAATTTTTAAGAATTTAAAGTGGGTATATTTTTAACAGCTCTATTAACATATAATTTACATACTATAAAATTTACTCAGGGTAGGTGGGGTGGCTCATGCCTATCATCCGAGCACTTTGGGAGGTTGAGGCAGGAGGCTTACCTGAGCACTTGAACCCAGAAGTTCAAGACCTAGGCTAGGCAAGATAGGGAGACTCTGTTTTACAAAAAATTAACAAATCAGCTGGGCAGGGTGGCATGTGCCTGCATTCCTAGCTACTCAGGAGGCTGAGGCAGGAGGGTCACATGAGCACAGGAAGTTGAGGCTGCAGAGAGCTGTGATCACACCACTGTACTGCAGCCTGGGCAACAGAATGAGACCCTGTCTCAAAAAAACAAAACAAAACCCTAAGTTTACCCATTTAAAGTGTTTTTTTTTTTAAGCATATTTACAGAGCAATAAATCATCATAATCTAATTTTAGAACAGAAAATAAGTTAGTTTTACATACAGTATGGTGAATTTGCTTTTTTTGCTTAGGATACATTTGGGTATCTGTTTATGTCTGTACATTGTATAGAACATCATTCTTTTTGACTTAGATATATATTATATAAATGTACTATGAATTACTTGAACAATCTTCCACTGATAAACATCTAGACTGGTTTCAACTTTTGCTGTTATAAATGATGTTGCAAGGAGCAGCCTACATCTTCACATACTTGAGTGTATGTATATTCCTTTACTTGTGTTGCATTGTTCCTCTTAATCCTAGTTGAATTTGTAAGGTGGATGTTGATAACCAATTTATGTCTCAGGTGTCAGTTTCAGAGAATTAAATGGCGAAGTCCACATTGCTACTAATTTAACAGAAGAAGTTGTTCTTTTTTGTTGTTGCTTTAATGGTCTCCCTATGTTCTCAGGGTGGTCTCAAACTCCTGAGCTCAAGCAGTCCTCCCTCCTTGGCCTCGCAAAATGCTGTGCTTATAGGCCTGAGCCACCATGCCCAGCCTCTGAACAAGTACTTCAATCTCATTTTTTGTTGTTTTTTCATTTTAAGTGTTGTGGTTTTCTAGTACTCACAGGATTTTGACAAATTAGAATGTATCCAGAAGAGCATGACTAGAATTAAGGAGCAGTAAAAGGAACTAGGGATGTTTAGGAGACACATATTTATTTTATTTGTTCAACATGTATATTTATTAAGCACCCACTATGTGCCACGTCCTGTTATAGATGGTGGATTGACAGTAGTTACAAGACAAACAAGGTCCTCTTCTTTCATGATGCTTTTATTTCAGTGAGGGGAAACAGACAAGTTTCTTGATCTTAGTAAGATGATTTTAGATAGTGACAAGTACTGTCAAGAAAATAAAACAAGATAATTAAGTGACCAAGGAAAACTCATTTAGGAGGTAACAGTGCTGATACCTAAATGACAGAAAGGCAATGTTTATATGTCTATCTATAGATATCTTTATGTAACATGAATGGTAATTACATTTAATTAGATTAGAAATAGACTTCCTATAGATGATAATAAGAGTTTCAAATCCCAGCAGTACTACTTACACACTATTTTACCCAAACTCTCCGAACTTCAGTTTTTATGTCTACAAAGTAGAGATAACAAACCTAGCTCACAGAACTTTTTGGATGGCTGGATAAGAGGGTTAGGCAAAAGTATCTAGCACTGGCCCATAACAGGCTCTCATTAGGCACTGAGTGAGATTTCATAATGCTCCATACAAAGAAAACATTTCTAACAGTTACTGCAGAACACAAATTGAATGACTTTGATGTGTTACTGATTTTCCTGTCAGTGGGGGACATTTAAGTAGCCTTTATTTTTTTGTTTTTTTTCAGACAGGGTATGTCTCTGTTGCCCAGGCTAGAGCACAGTGGCGCAATCATGGCTCACTACAACTTTGATCTGGGATCAAGTGATCCTCCTGCCTCAACCTCTTAAGTAGCTGGAACTGCAGGTGTATACCACCATGCTTGGTTAATTTTTAAATTTTTCATAGAGATGAGGTTTCACTGTGTTGCACAGACTAGTCTCGAACTCCTGGGCTCAAGCTGTATGCTTCCCTTGGCCTCCAAAGTATTGGGAGTACAGGTGTGAGCCAATAGTACCCAGCTACATAGCCTTCAGATGACTGTTCTTGAATAGAAGACATTCATGCATTAACTGAGGAAAAAGACAAGTTGACCTGAGAGCCTTTTCCCTGTCCCATTGCTGATAAGCTTTCTGTCTTTAGAGCCTGTTTTAGTTCATTTTCTCACTGCTATAAAGAAATAACTTTGGCTGGGCGCGGTGGCTCATGCCTATAATCCCAGCACTTTGGAGGCCGAGGCGGGTGGATCACGAGGTCAAGAGATCGAGACCATCCTGGTCAACAAGGTGAAACACCATTTCTACTAAAAATACAAAAATTAGCTGGGCATGGTGGCGCATGCCTGTAGTCCCAGCTACTCCGGAGGCTGAGGCAGGAGAATTGCTTGAACCCAGGAGGTGGAGGTTGCGGTGAGTGGAGATCGAGCCATTGCACTCCAGCCTGGGTAACAAGAGCGAAACTCCTTCTCAAAAAAAAAAAAAAGAAATAATTTTAGAATGGGTAATTTATAAAGAAAAGAGATTTAATTGGTTCATGGTTCTGCAGGCTATACCGAAAGCATGATGCTGGTATCTGCTCAGCTTCTGGGGAGGCCTCCAGAAACTTATAATTATTGCAGAAGACAAAGTGAGAGCGAGGGGTTTCACATAGCAAGAGCAAGAGACAGTGAGGGAGGAGGTGCTGCACACTTTTAAACAACCACATCTCACGAGAACTTAATCACAGTGGTGAGGATAATACCAAGGGGATGATGCTAAGCCATTCAAGAGATTCATCTGCAAGATCGAGCCACCTCCCACCAGGCCCCACTTTCAACATTGGAGACTACAGTTCGACATGAGATTTGGTGGGGACACAGATCCAAACCGTATCAGAGTCCTAGTTCACAGCTTGGGAAATAAACTCAGGCATGTTTTTGAAGGCTAAAGGGGCCTTCTGGAATAGTGGTTTAAAAGTCTTTTTAAAGCGTGGCTCAAGCCTGAAATCCCAGCGCTTTGGGAGGCCAAAGCAGGTGGATCACTTGAGGCCAGGAGTTTGAGATCAGCCTCACCAACATAGTAAACCCCCATCTCTACTAAAAAATAAAAAAATTAGCCGGGTATGGTGGCACATGCCTGTAATCACAACTACTTGGGATGCTGAAGCATGAGAATCACTTGAATCTGAGAGGCAGAGATTGCAGTGAACCAAGGTCGCACCTCTGCACTCCTGCACTCCAGCCTGGGTGACAGAACAAGATTCTGTCTCAAAAAAAAAAATTAAAGCAGCAGTACCCTTCTAAAGAAATATTTAAGTCTGATCTGTAAAATTTAAAATTTGATCCACTAGGTGAAGTTGGTAATGAGAGGTTACCTATTTTATTATTCACTTAATAATCCCTTGCATTTGTAATATGCTTTATATGCTTACTAAAGAACTCTTTTTTTTTAAATTGTCATGGCTACTACTTAAGGTAAATCTATGTTACAGGCTAGGAAGTAGGCATGGAGAGATAAGTAACTTGTTCTGATCCCGGAGTAATCCTTAATGGAGTCAGAACTATAACCTGAGTCTCTTAACCCCTGTGTCAATGGACTTTTCCTCTAAAATGCTTTATTAATCACTTTATAGCTTTTCTTTCTTTCTTTCTTTTATAGAGTTAATTATTTATATTATAAAGAATTTTAATAGTCCTGGGGACTTCCTTGAAGGATCATTTTCATTTTTGCTCAGAAGAAAGCTCTGGATCTATCAAATAAAGAAGTCTTTCGTGTGGGCTACATATATAGATGTTTTCATGAAGAGGAGTGAAAAGCCAGAAGGATATAGACAAATGAGGCCTAAGACCTTTCCTGCCAGTAACTATACTGGCAGTAGCCGACAAATGTTAAAAGAAATTCGGGAATCCCTTAGGAATTTATCTAAACCATCAGATGCTACTAAGGCTGAGCATAACATGAGTAAAATGTCAACTGAAGATCCTCGACAAGTCAGAAATCCACCCAAATTTGGGACACATCATAAAGTCTTGCAGGAAATTCGAAATTCTCTGCTTCCATTTGCAAATGAAACAAATTCTCGTAGTACTTCAGAAGTTAATCCACAAATGCTTCAAGACTTACAAGCTGCTGGATTTGATGAGGTAAGAACTTTTAAAGACAATGGATTCTTCTTACCTTATGCTACATAACATTTTTGGGGTGAAAAGATGCCAAAATGTTTCCCTTAAGAGAATTTATCCGTGTATACAAATTTGCATATTCTATCAGCAAAGAATGTTATGTTTACAATTCCATTAATTATTATAACAAAATAATTGTTATTTCCTTAGTTTCTTCTGTGATATGTATCACTAAATTCTGGAGTTTCTGGAATTTAAAAGGCCAGGTCATGAAGTCAGAATGGAAGTGCAGTTGAAGAAAGCCACAGGTGAGGGTAGGGGAAAGACATCTGTTTGTGTGAAATACAATGGTGAACTAAGTGTCTGTTGGGGAAATGATAGTTCTGAGAACATGAAATTTAACTTCATAGTAGGGAGAAAGAATTATATAGTTATGGGTTTGTGTAGTAAGCAGTTGTGTTCTCAGGCCCAAATCTTAAATTTACAAAAACTAACAAAATTTCACTTCAGGCTAACTATGCCAAGTCTTTAATATTTATCTTCAGAATTCATTTTGAAATTTTTTCATAATCCGTATATTTAATGATTTTGTTTAGATTATCAGTGAAATTTGTTTCTTACGATAACATACCTTGTGAGCATGAATATTTTAGGTGTCAGGAGCCATTTTAGATAAATATTGGCAATGTAAAATGTAACTAAATGTGAATAATCAAAAGTTAGGCCGGGCGCAGTAGCTCACACCTATAATCCCAGCCCTTTGGGAGGCTGAGGAGGGCGGATCACCTGAGGTCAGAAGTTTGAGATCACTCTGACCAACATGGTGAAACCCCATCTCTACTAAAAATACAAAATTTGCCCGGCATGGTGGTGCATGCTTGTAATCCTACCTACTTGGGAGGCTGAGGCAGGAGAAGCACTCTGCCTCCAAGAAGCAGAGGTTGCAGTGAGCTGAGATCACGCCATTGCACTTCAGCCTGGGCAACAAGAGGGACACTCCATCTCAAAAAAAGAGTTAATTACATTTTTCACAATTATAGTAACATGTTTTCCTGATTGCAAAAAATATTACCTATTCTCTCTTAGCAATTGAAAAGTATAAAGAAGAAACTGAAAATTACATTTAGCCTCACTGTATAAAGATAACTACCCTTAAAATTCCTTCACTGTTTTTTTCATGGGTTTTGTGTGTGTGTGTGTGTGTGTGTGTGTGTGTGTGTGTGTATGACCGAATTTCCATATATTTCTGTATTTAATTTAAAAAGTGAAAACCTGACCGGGCTTGGTGGCTCACGCCTGTAATCCCAGCACTTTGAGAGGCCAGGGTGGGCAGATCACGAGGTCAAGAGGTCAAGAACATCCTGGCCAACATGGTGAAACCCCATCTCTACTAAAAATACAAAAATTAGCTGGGCGTGGTAGCACATGCCTGTGATCCCAACTACTTGGGAGGCTGAGGCGGAAGAATCACTTGAACCCAGGAGGTGGAGGTTGCAGTGAGCCGAGATTGCGCCACTATACTCCAGCCTGGCAACAGAGCAAGACTCAGTCTCAAAAAAAAAAGAAAAAAAGTAAGAACCTAAGTATGCATTATAGCAAAAGATTTTAAAAGGGAGATTTACAACTAAACTATAAGGGAAAGAAAATTCTTTCTGGCACATTCTATTTATCTATTTGATTACTATTATTTTCTATCATTTTTATACTTCAGTGTTCTAAAAATACTGGATTTAAACCAGGAAATAGAGGAAGAGGAGGGAAAGACATGGGATAATGTTTTTCTGGTTAGTATTTAGAAGATTAAAGAAATGGCTTGAGTGGAGATTGTCCCAAGCACTTTCTTCCTAATCCCCTAGCCAAAAGGCAAAGAATAATTATTGATCTTATTTTTTCCCTTTTCATTTGCTAAGCAAAGAGAAGTTATGAAATCACATAGCTATAAAAGCCCCTAGTGGTAATGTGTTAGGTCAGGTAAGTCACCCAGTAATACGTACTTAGGGAGCTCTTACTATGTGTGCACCTCACCCATCGGTCAGAATAGCAAATTGTACCAGATGTGGCTCATACCTTTAAGGTAATTAAAAGTTTTCTTCTCCCCTCCCCTCCCCTCCCCTTCCTTTCCCTTCCCTTCCCTTCGCGAGACAGAGTCTTGCTCTGTTTGTTGTCCAGGCTGCAGTGCAGTGGCATGACCTTGGCTTACTGTAATCTCTACCTCCCAGCTTCAAGCGATTCTCCTGCCTCAGCCTTCCAAGTAGCTGGGACTACAGGTGTGCACCCCCATGCCCAGCTAATTTTTGTATTTTTAGTAGAGATGAGTTTCACCATGTTGCCCAGGATGGCCTCGGTCTCTTGACCTTGTGATCCACCTGCCTTGACCTCCCAAAGTGCTGGGATTACAGGTGTGAGCCACCACACCTGGCCTTAAAGTTCTTTCTAATAAAGACAGTTTTAAGAAATCTAAGTCATTGGTCAATGCTCTAGTCCTTATTGGTCATAATAACAATAATTGGTTTGTATTACAAAGATATGTTTGTGCTTTTTTTTTTCATTAAAGTTCTACACAAATAATGTGTTAGCTTTATTATAATTACACATTTCAAATTGTCACGAGATTGCTTTAAGAAAGTATTTAGACATCATTCCTCATTTGTCCAAATAATGAAGTATGGTGTTATTTATACCAACGGTGATATAAAGAATCTGGCAGTCTGCTTGTACTTTCTTGAATTACTCATTCTGGTAGCATCCCATGATATTATAGAGTTTATCTTGTTCAAGATCTTAACTTGGTATTTCAAAATTGTTATCTAGTTTTCAATTCATTCTTTTTTATCATTTCGGAAACCTTAACCTACTCCTTTTATTAGCTGTGCCAAGTTCAAGATAGTGCCTTTATTTTTTTTGAGAATGTTTCTGATGACCGTGTAAAATTAAAAGCTCAAATATTTCAAGATTAAATTTCTCATAGGAATAAATGTTAAATAGGATTGATGCATTCTTGGAGCACATAATATAATCACTGGGGTATATTTTTGCTTATAAGCATGAAAACCAAAAGCATAATTATGTGGACATATTTTCTTATCACATAGGACTTCTGGCCATGCGCAGTGGCTCACACCTGTATCCCAGCACTTTCGAAGTTCAAGGCTGGTGGATCACTTGAGGCCAGGTGTTAGAGACCAGCCTGACCAACATGGTGAAATTTGTACAAAAAAATACAAAAAATATTTGTATAAAAAATACAAACAAAAAATTAGCCAGGCCTGGTGGCGCATGTGTGTAGTCCTAACTACTTGGGTGGCTGAGGTAGGATAATTGCTTGAACCTGGGAGGCAGAGGTTGCAGTGAGCTGAGATCATGCCACTGCACTCTAGCCTGGGCAATAGAGCGAGACTCTGTCTCAAAAAAAAAAAAAAGACTTCTAGCTGGGTGTGATGGCTCACACCTGTTATTCCAGTGCTCTGGGATGCCAAGGCAGGAGGATTGCTTGAGCCCAGGAGTTCAAGTCCAGCCTGGGGAACATAGTGAGACCCTGTTCCTACAAAAAAATTTAATTATTTAATTATATGTGGTGGCATATGCTGGTAGTACCCAGCTACTCAGGAGGCTGAGGTGGGAGGATCACTCAAACCCAGGAGATGAAGGCTGCAGTGAGTTATGGTTGTAGCACTGTACTCCAGCCTGGGCAACAGAGCGAGACCCTGTCTCTAATGAAAAAAAAAAAAAAAGACTACCATTCCAGAGTTACTGATTTGAGCATGCTCTTTTTCACACTGGCACTAACACCTCAACTTGATGAAAGCTTGATTGATGTTTTTACAGATGTAAAAAATATTTTAAAACATAGCAATAAATATTCAAACATAAAGGTTAGCATAGTAATCACCAAAATCACAAGGCTGAAATTCCAGTGCATTTAACAAGAATATGGGCCAGGCGCGGTGGCTCACACATGTAATCCCAGCACTTCAGGAGGCCGAGGTGGGTGGATCACTTGAGGTCAGGAGTTCTAGACCAACCTGGCCAACAAGACAAAATCTTTTATGTATTTAATAAAAAAGTATGTAAATTAGCCAGGCATGGTAGCGGGTGCCTGTAATTCCAGCTTCTCAGGAGGCTGAGGTAAGAGAACCACTTGAACCCATGACGCAGAGATTGCAGTGAGCTGAGATCATGCCACTGCACCCCAGCCCGGGCGACATCGAGGCTCTGTCTCAAGAAGAAAAAAAAAGAAAAATGATTCCCACAATATTGGTGAAGGGTAATGGGTGCTAATTTTCTTACCAACTGAGGTGTGACTGCTGTGTAGTAGTAGCATAAATACATATACAATTCACTTGACTTAACCAGTTTTACAATTAAACACTCATTGATGAATTTTAACTTCAGTAATTTTTATTATTTTACATTTGCGCATATTTGGTTTTAACAAAAATCCAAATAATAATGCTTTAAGATAGATAGTGATTGAGTTTATATAATTATCATTAGCTCAGTGTCTTAAAGATTTCAGAGCTTAGGACTCTTATGAGTCTCTTGAATTTTACTTCTTGGTGGCAACATGCTGTAGCACAGGTATCCTATCTGTTGCCTAGGAAACAGGATCTAGGAAGGACCAGTATCTGGATCAGACAGGGCGAAAGTTTTATGGCAACCCTTGCTTCTTCCAACAAAATCAGTAACATTTTCCAAGAAAGGGAGAAGGGACCTTAGGTATGCAATAAGTTCTTGCCACATCCTTTCTTTGGTTGGTCTCACATTCTTCTCTAATCATTTCACATAGGAGGATCATCTGTCAGTAGCCTGTTCACCCTGTTACTAAGTCATTTCTCGTTTAAAAATGTCATTTGAAATACTGAATCTTCTAGGACAAGTAAGTAGTTGCCTCCCTCTTGAAAAATGCATGTCAGCATACTTTCTGCATGATAGTGAATGATTTATGTTTACATAAAACATAAAGTTCAAGGAGTGGAAGAGAGTAGCCAACATTTTAGCTCCAGGCACTGTGGTTGGTGCTTTACATGTTTTCTTACTTAATCCTCACTTCAACTCTGTGAGCCTATTACAGGCAAAGAAACTGAGCCTCTGAAATGTGAAATAACTTGCCAAGTATCATACTACTTTACAGAGCTGCTAGAACTCAGACCCACATCTGTCTGATTCCAAATCCTCTGTTATTTTTGTCATACTATATAGTGTCCTAAAGTCTTCATCACATAGTCATATACAGCCTAAGTATCTTCTTTTGTCTTATATTTGCATCCCTGTAATATAGTTCTCTGAAAACGTAATCTCTAAGAGGATAAGAACCCGAACTATTATATACAATGGCAGTATGTTTAATAAAATACTTCAATGATACAAAAAAGTTGTTTGTTTTTTTTTTGAGATGGAGTTTCACTCTTGTCAGGCTGAAATGCAATGACATGATCTCGACTCTCTGCAACCTCCACCTCCTGGATTCTCCTCCCTCAGCCTCCCAGATAGCTGGGATTATAGACCTGCACCACCATGCTCGGCTAATTTTGTGTTTTTAGTAGAGCCAGCGTTTCACCATGTTGATCAGGCTGGTCTTGAACTCCTGACCTCAGGTGATCCATCTGCCTCAGCCTCCCAAAGTGCTGGATTACAGGTGTGAGCCACAACACCCAGCCCAAACAAGTAGTTTCTGATATTTTGATTGCTACCTTTTTAACAATCTGATTGTCTGTGATTGTTATATAAGAATTAGAAATGATGAGAATCATGTTGCTATGATTGTACCTAAAGCAGTTAATCCTAATTCAAGCCAACAATGGTGTGTTGAAAAAAATAAAAATTTAAAAAATGTAAACTTTTTCATCCTAGGAGGAAATAGAAATATGTTACATAAAGGTGAAAATGCTAAAGAAACATTTGAAGATAAAAAAAAAAAGAAATATTTGGAAGATTTGAGGATTTTCTTTTCTTTTCTTTTTCAAGACAGCATCTCGCTCTGTTGCCCAGACTGGAGTGCAGTGGTCATCTTAGCTCACTGTAACCTCCACTTCCTGGGTTCAAACAATTCTCATGTCTAACCTACTGAGTAGCTGGAATTACAAGCATGCGCCCACACGCCTGGCTAATTTTTAATTTTTTTTGCAGAGACTGGGTTTCACTGTGTTGGCCAGGCTTGTCTCAAACTCCTGGTCTTAGGTGATCTGCCCACCTTGGCCTCCCAGAATGCTGGGATTACGCAGTGCTTGAGCTACTGCGCCCAGCCTGTTTAAATTGAGACTTTGTGTGAGGTTTTTAGTAACTACAAATAAAACATTAATATTATGGTTTGGGGTCCTGTTCTTCATAATTGTGGATTTCTCTAATGGAACTCATAGTATTCTTTCCCTTGTGTTACTTATAAGATTTAAATTTTGTTTCTTTTTTTTAAACTTCATATCAGGATATGGTTATACAAGCTCTTCAGAAAACAAACAACAGAAGTATAGAAGCAGCAATTGAATTCATTAGTAAAATGAGTTACCAAGATCCACGACGAGAGCAGATGGCTGCGGCAGCTGCCAGACCTGTTAATGCCAGCATGAAACCAGGTGATTAATCAAATATTTTATTTTCTCATCTCTTCTTATACTGTATAGTTTAAAAATACTGAAGTCTATCAAATCTTCGTTCTTATAAATTATAAAAGTATCCCAGTAAATGAAAATCTCAAATTAAGATAACATTATAATGTTACACCAAAATGAATTTAAGGATTTGGGGCCCTCACGTTTAAAAGTTAATAGATAATTTGGATAACCAGCAGTCTTGATTGAGATTTATTTGATTGGTAATACTGCAACTGAAATACATCTATTTTCTCTCCAAATCTCATCATTCAGACTACTCTTTTTTCTTTTTATACATTTTTTTCATATTATGAGAGTAAAATATTATCAATGTAGAATATTTGGAAAACAAAACATCACTGTTAATAACAATATTTTAGTGTATTTTGTTTCCCAGTCTTTTCTCCTGTGGGAAACTGGAATGGGTTTATCTGTGTGTATTTTAATTCTTGTCACTTAAGCAAAAAATGGGATCATACTAAAACCTACTTTTTTCACTTAAATATACCATGTATAAATTTACTTGTTATTAAATTTTCTACAGAATAATTTTAATAGCCACATTAAAATAGACTTATTTGCTGAGTGCAGTGGTTCATACCTGTAATCCCAATACTATGGGAGACCTTGAGGCAGGAGGATCGCTTGAGCCCAGGTGATCCTGCCACTGTACTCCAGCCTGGGCAGCAGCTAGACCCTGTCTCCAAAAAAAATTAAATAAATGAAAGATGTATCATATACTTTAATCTCCCATTTTTGGACATCTACTTTGTTTCCTTTTTTATTTGCCATTATAGACAGCACTGCGGTAATTATCCTTACAGCTAAATCTTTGTACATACCTAATGATTTCTTAAAAGTAAGTTTTAGAAAACTTAAAAAATGTTAAGGCTTTTCATAGATACTGCTGTCTAGAAAGGTAGTACCAATTTATAATTTTTTTAATTTTTAATTTTTTTGAGATGGAGTTTCACTCTGTTTCCTAAGCTGGAGTGCAGTGGCACAATCTCACCTCACTGCAACCTCCGCATCCCAGGTTCAAGCAGTTCTTCTGCCTCTGCCCCCCAAGTAGCTGGGATTACAGGCATGAGCTACCAGGCCTGGCTAATTTTTGTATTTTTAGTAGAGACAGGGTTTCACATGTTGGCCAGGCTGGTCTCGAAGTCCTGACCTCAAGTGATCCGACCACCTCAGTCTCCCAAAGTGCTGGGATTACAAGCGTGAGCCACTGCGCCCAGCCAGTAGTACCAGTTTATATTCTCCCTATCAGTTTACTGTGAGAATGTCTGTTTGTAAAACCTGGTTATTGTTATTTTTGTCTGTTTAATGGTTATGGAAGCACCATCTTATTTTACATTTGCATTTCTTTGATCACTGCATTTATTTATTGCTTATTTTCTTAATTGCCACTTTACCTCTTTTAATTTTGTCTGCCTTTTTTTTTCCTTGAGACAGAATCTTGCTCTGTCACCCAGGCTGAAGTGCAGTGGCGCCATCTCGACTCACTGCAACCTCTGCCTCCCAGGTTCAAGCGATTCTCTTGCCACAGCCTCCCCAGTAGCTGGGACTACAGGCACGCACCACCATACCCGGCTAATTTTTTTTATTTTTAGTAGAGATGAGGTTTCACCATGTTGGCCGGGATGGTCTGATCTCCTGACCTTGTGATCTGACCACCTGAGCCTCCCAAAGTGCTGGGATTACAGACATGAGCCACCACACCCAGCCATAAATCAATTCTTTTTTTTTTTTTTTTTGAGACGGGGTTTCGCTTTTGTTACCCAGGCTGGAGTGCAATGGCGCAATCTCGGCTCACCACAACCTCTGCCTCCTGGGTTCAGGCAATTCTCCTGCCTCAGCCTCCTGAGTAGTTGGGATTACAGGCACGCGCCACCATGCCCAGCTAATTTTTTGTATCTTTAGTAGAGATGGGGTTTCACCATTTTGACCAGGATGGTCTCGATCTCTTGACCTCGTGATCCACCCGCCTCGGCCTCCCAAAGTGTTGGGATTACAGGCTTGAGCCACCGTGCCTGGCCGCCATAAATCAATTCTTAAAAGACAAAGACAGGCTGGGCACAGTGGCTTATGCCTGTAATGAATTCCAGCACTTTGGCAGGCTGAAGTGGGCAGATAATGAGGTGAGGATTTCTATTCCAGCCTGACCAACATGGTGAAGCCCCATCTCTACTAAAAATACAAAAATTAGCCAGGCATGGTGGCGTGCACCTGTAGTCCCAGCTTCTTGGGAGGCTGAGACAGGAGAATCGCTTGAACTGGGAGGCAGAGGTTACAGTGAGCTGAGATCATACCACTGCATTCCAACCTGGATGACAGAGCGAGACTCTGTCTCAAAAAAAAAAAAAAAAAAAAAAATTATAAGAGGGCTGTAGTCATTCTTCTATTCAACAGATTTTTATTGGTCAACCACTGTTTCAGGCTTTTTGCTCTGCATTGGGTAAGTTCTTGCCCGTTTGTGGAGCTTACATTCTGTTAAGGGTGATGATAATCACACAGATATGTGTAGAATTAAAGCTATATATGGTGTGAATGAAGAGAGGAAAGTTATGTGGTACTGTAGACTCATATAATAGTGGGTATCTTTTTGTTTTGTTTTGTTTTGTTTTACCTAATCAAGAAGATCAGAAAAATCCTTCCTCATAAACTGATAATAAAGCTGATATTTGAAGAAGTACAGAGTTAATGGGGATGGATTTAGTGAGTGTCCTTGTGCTTGGCTGCTTTGGCAGATTTTGATGCCACACCAAAAAAAAAAAAAAAATGAAAATGCTTGGAGCACTGAAAACAGGATTGTGAAATGTAATTGGAGAAGTCCATAGGGGCCTGACTCTGCAGAACTGTTTGTTAATTTTATCCTAAGAGCAGCTGAAGGGTGTAGAAGTGTTTTAAGTAGGGTGACAACATGATTAGATTTGTATTTCAGAAAGATGGCTGCAGTGGATGAGAATGCGTTAGGAGCAAGGACAGATAAGAAGGCAGGTGTGTGTGATAGGAGACATAGTAGTTTGTGACGGTAATTTGGATTTGGGTAATAGCAGTAAAGAAAATGAATGAATTAAGAGGAATGGGAGGGGTAAAATTGACAAGGACTTGGTAATAGATTGCATACAGGGTGTGATGATAGAAGGGAATAGAAGGGGATAACGCTTAGGTTTTTGGCTTAGAAAAATAGATGGATAATAATACCCAAGATTAAGGAAGGAAATGTTAAGAAAGAATAGAATTGGGTGGGAAAGATCATAAATCTGGCTTTAGTTTTCCAAGTGGAGACATCAAGTAGGGAGTTGGATATGTATGTTTGAGCCATGATATGAAATAGGTCACCTAAGGGATGTTACATAAATCAAAATAATAAGATGGCCTGCAACCAAGCTTATTATTTAATAGCTAGTAGGAAGGGATAAACCTGCAAAGGGGACAGAGAAGAAATAGCTAAGACCAGTGGCTCATGCCTGTAATCCCAGCTCTTCAGGAGGTCTGGGCAGGAGGATCACAAAGTCAGGGGTTCAAGACCAGCCTGGCCAACGTGGTGAAACCCCATCTCTACAAAAATTACAAAAATTAGCTGGGCGTGGTGGCGTATGCCTGTTATCCCAGTTACTCAGTAGGCTGAGGCAGGAGAGTCACTTGAACCCAGGAGGCAGAGCTGCAGTGAGCTGAGACCTCGCCATTGCACTCCAGCCTGGGCAACAGAGCAAGACTCCGTCTCAAAAAAATAATAATAATAATTAGAAAGAGCTAAAAGAGAAGGAAGAAAACCAGTAAGGTTTTCAGTGTTTTGGAAGCCAAAGTAAGAGAATGTTTCAAGAAAGGGAGGGAATGGTCAAAATGCCAAATACTGCTAAGAAAGAGATATTAACCAAGATGAGAACTAAAAAATAATCTTGTTGGCTTTAGGATGTGGTGTATTAGTTTGCTAGGGCTGCCATAACAAAATAACACAGACTGGGTGGCTTAAACAATTGAGATTTATTTTCTCACAGTGCTGGAGACTGGAAGTCCAAGATTAAGTTACTGGCAGGTCTGGTTTCTGCTGAGGCTGCTCTCCTTGGCTTGCAGATGGCCACTGCTTTGCTGTGGCCTCATATGTGTGTCTCTCTGCATGTGCATGTGTCTGGGGTCTCTGTCTCCATGTCCAAATTTTCTCCTACAGGGATACAGGTCATATTGCATTAGGACCCACCCTAATGACCTAATTTAATCTTAATTACCAAATACAGTCACATCTGGTGGTACTGCTGGTTAGGACTTCAGCATATAGATTGAGGATTCAGGCCATAAAAAATGAGGGAATTTGTGTCATGGGAGTATAATTCAGACTGGAGTGGGTAGGGAACTAAATAGAATATGTAGTAGCAAAGAACACAAGGTATACCTTTAAGAGGTTTTTCTGTGACGAGAGAGTGAGGACATTAGCAAGAGTGATGCTTTCAAACCATCTATGGTGAAGACCTTTGATTTTTCAGATTTCCAGTTCATGAATCCAATTCATTATTTAATAAAATACAATAAAATAAATTATTAGAAAATGAAAATTTAAGTGCTAGGCATGGTAGTTCACGCATGTAATCCCAGCAGTTTGGGAGGCTGAGGTGGGAGGATCACTTGAGCTCAATTGTTTGAGACTAGCCTGGGCATCGTTATGAAACCCCGGCTCTACAAAAAATTAGCCAGGTGTGGTGATGGGTGCCTGTAGTCCCAGCTATTCAGGAAGCTGAGGTGGGAGGATTGCCTGTGCCAGCAAGATTGAAGCTTCAGTGAGCTGTGATTGCACCACTACACTCTAGCCTGGGCAATAGAGTGAGCCCCTTTCTCAAAAGAAAAAAGGTTAAAATTTTAAATGACATAAAAATATAAGTTTAAATATTTTAGTATTATATTTAACAGACATAAGTTTATTCTGTCAAATTTCTATAAAAGTTTCTCAATCCTCACTTTCAATTTCCATACTTATCTCATGG